AACCCTAATCTAATCATTGCTATGTTATTGTTTTGTTTTCTGCATGTTATTGTTTTCTTTTTTGCATGTTATTATGCAATTAAGATCTTCTTTTTTCGTGGAATAAGATGGTGTAATTAACCCTAATTCTAGCAAAACCCCCATAATTAATTAGGGTTAATTGATGGGGCTTTTGCTGGATTAACCCTACTTTAGGTTAATTATCTCTGAAATTACCCAAAATTAGGGTTTATTAACCCAAATTTTGGGTCATTTTAGGGTTTACATTTGGGTTTACTTTTAACATGTTTATTTTTGTTGGATTAAGGTTTGTTGATCGTTTGCAATTACTTTTACCATTCTTTATTTTGGCTATTAGCAATTAGTTTTGTTTGTTAGCATGATTATTTGTCTTCTTCTTCTTTTTTTATTTTTTTTTATTTTTTTTATTTTTTATTTTTTATTGGCAGATTCAAATGGCATCTGATACTTTGCATGATATCATTGTTCACTATGAGGGACATATATATGTCATAGGGAACATTAATCCTGATAAGTATAGTTATTTGTCACTGAATACTCATGTTACCTACTTGCTACGTGATGAAGTGTGTCATGAGAAAGGTTCTGTGGCATTTCATATTTATTTTCAAATTCCTGATTGTACTGATAGAATGTTGCTAGAACTGGATGAAGATGTAATTATCATGTTTGAGTTGATGAAGGGCTGTAAGGATATAAATGTATTTGTTGAAGTTGTTCAGTATTATTTAGCTTTATGTAATAATGGTGCAGGCTCTAGTAATGCTTTTGAGGTGGGAGGAGACAGTGATGTTGAGGAAGTCATTCCAAATGAAACAGTGATGTCAGATGAGGAGAGGAATGATGATAGGAATGATGAGGGGAGTGATGGTGGTGAAGGAGATTCTCAGTATAGTTTTTCTGACAGTGATGATGAAGAGTGGACTGGTGTTCATGAGGGAGGGAGAGCTAATAATTTGGGAGATGACAATTTGGATAATATTGAGTTAGAGAAGGAGACTTCAGACCATAGTGATGGTGAGTTTTCTGATTATAATGAGGATTACGATTTCAGTGGAGAAAGTGAAAGTGAGGAAGAAAGAGAGACATGTGGGAGTCAAAGTGGAAAAAATAAAATTAGAAACAGAAAATATAGAAATATAACTATGAAGTATTTACACAGAGCTTTGAAGGGAAATCCATTTAAATATGGTGAGGGGGGTAAAATTGTATTTGAGAAGTACCATCTCTTTGATAGTATCCACCACTTCAGAGATGTCTTGGTAGAATATTCTATCCAAAAAGGTTTTAAACTTGTGAGGCAAAAATATGAAAGGAAAAGAATTACCTGTCACTGTGGGAATGCAGGCTATAATTGGGGAATTCATGCAATCTTATTGCCTGACAAAATGTCTTTTATAATAAAAAGAGTTGGCCCAGAACATTGTTGCATCAGAACATTTAAGAACAAATGTGTGACTTCTACATTTATAGCAAAACAGCTTCTAGATAGGTTCAGAAAAAATCCTGACATTTCAATAAAGGATTTGAAACAAGAAGTTAGAGAGAAATTTCTTACAGTTGTTACTGATATAAGTTGTTGGAGGGCTAAAAAGAAAGCAAAAGAGGAGATTGAAGGGAGTCATACTGAGTCGTATGGAAAGCTATGGAAGTTTGTAGCTGAGGTGATGAAAACAAATCCAGCTAGTTTAGTGTTCATAAGGAAAAATGCAGATGAGCCTTAAAAATTTAAGAGAATTTTTTTATCATTTGCTGCATGTCAGAATGGGTTTGTTAATGGGTGCAAACCATTTATTGGTATTGATGGATGTTTCTTGAAGGGACCTTTTGGGGGTACTTTACTTAGTGCTATAGGACTTGATGGAAATAATGGGTTGTATCCATTTGTTGTTGCCATTGTTGAATCTGAAGGAAAGGACAGTTGGAAATGGTTTTTAGATCACTTGCACAAGTTCCTTGGTGATACAGCTGGAGCTATTCCTTGGACCTTTATGTCAGATGGGTAAAAGGGAATTTTGGGAGCTATTTCTGATATTTTTCCACAGGCACTAACTAGGAGATGTTGCAGGCATATCTATGCCAATTTTAGGACAAAATATTCTGGTCTGAAGTATAAAAGTTTATTCTGGGCAGCTGTAAATGCATATAATCAATTAGAATTCAAATCTGCAATGGGGCAACTGCAGGCAATCCGTTTTGGGGGGGGGGGGGCTGCAATTGGTTGATGGAACATCCTTTAGAGACATGGGCTAGACATAAATTTGATCCTAGGGCAAAGTGTGACTTTGTCACCAACAATCATGTGGAGTCATTTAATTCTTGGCTTGGGAATATCAGACAAAAACCAATCACTGGAATTCTAGAAAGCATAGCAAAAAAGCTGATGTCCAAGTTTGGTAAAAGATTTCAAAGGACAGTAGAGTGGACAAATACAATAGTGCCAAAAGCTAGGAACAAATTGAACTCTAACATCTCTAAAGCTGCTACATGTGAACTGATTTGGCCTGGTGGGAATTTGTATCAAATTACACAAATGGATACACACATGTCTTATATTGTGAACCTAGGTGAGATAAGTTGCTATTGTGGGAAATGGCAAGTGTCTGGAGTGCCTTGCAGGCATGCATGTGCAGCTATTACACACACAAGGCATGATTTTGAGAGTTTTTGCTCAGATTTCTACAGTAAGAATACATATGCAAATACTTACAGTACTTTTATACACCCACTGCACCATGACACTATGTGGACTGAGGTTGACAAAGCACCATTGGAGCCACCAGTTCTCAAAAGACCAATAGACAGACCTAGAGTGAAAAGAAAGAGGGAAGTTGGTGAACCAGAAGCAACTAGAAGGTCAAGTGTTATCACTTGCAGCATATGTGGTGTGTTTGGACACAACAAGAGGGGATGTGAAAAGGCTCCTACTGCAGCACAAGTGAAAGCAACAAAAGCAAATGCAACAACAGGCCCATCATCATCAACAGCCCCAGCAGTAAGGAGGAGGAAAAGTGTACCAAGAAGATCAAGAAGGATTGGAGCAGCAGCACAAGGTTCTCAGGTATTTAATTCATCTCTTAAGGTTTTGATTTATATTGTAAAACTTTTTTTATTTCAGTTTATATTTATATTGTGAACTTTTGTTTTCATTTCAGGGTTCAAGAAGTATGGCAGCAGAAACAGCAGCAACAACACCAATAACACAAGGCACTCAGGTATATAATTCATATATGTCTGATATTATTCATTTTAACAGGTATAGGTATAAATTATGAAGCTTTGTTTTCATTTCAGGATTCAACAAATAGGGCAACAGAAACAGTAGCAGTACCACCAACAGCACAAGACACTCAGGTATATTATTCATATTTGTCTGAGATTATTCATTTAACAAAATAATTTATAAAGTTTTGTGCATTTCAGTTTATGTTTATATTTATGTCCTTGTTATTCAGGGTTCAACTTCAATATTTATGGAACCAGCAAGAGCAACATAAGGCATTTAGACTCCATGTTGCACCACTTTACCTCCTACAACAGGAATTAGGACATAGTTTATGGTAAACATGACTTTTTGCACAGTGCCAACATAATTTTTTGCACAGGCTAAATTTCACACACAGCACAGTTTTTTGGGTTATGCAAGTAGATATGAGGGATACTTTTGGGTTATGCAAGTAATGATATGCAATGGGGAATACCTTTTTGGTTATTTTGAAAGTTTTGTAATGAATTTGAAGAGATATTTAAACTTAGCTATGTGGCTGTTGGTAATGGATTTGAAGGGATGTATTTTTTGGCTTTTAAAGTTTGTGATATTTGATGGATTATATTTTGTTGTGAAAAATGGTTTTGACTTAGTTAAAGGCTGTATGCATGCTTTGATATTGTAGTTGTGTTGCATTACTATATATTGATTATAATAGAACACTAATTATTTTATTTAGATAGAAAGGCAATGAACATTGTTAGGACAGCTATAATACAAATGCCCATGCTTGCATACACAATTGACCTCATCAAAGACATTAAACCATCTATAATGTCATTCCTGATTCCATCATTGACATTAGCAGCATTCACATTAGTAATAACATCAGGTGCAAGTACATCCTCAGGACTCAACCATTTGAAGTATGCACATCTTCCATTATAACAATTGTAGAAGTGTCTTCCAGGATTTTTGTCTGAATGAGATACCCTCAATGCTGCTCTTCTTCCACATGAACATATTTTAGTTCTGAACATTGGCAACACACACTTGATTGCCCCTATTTACTTGAAAATATACATGTTACAGGTTAAAAAATATTGGCATTGGCAATTACATATTCAAAAATATAATTTGTAATTACAGGTTAAAAATATTTTTCAAATATCACCCTCAAATTTACATACATTTTTTTTTTTCCACATTTATGAGGTTCAAATCAGCAAACAATTATAAAGGAATTACTTGTAAAAAAAAAATTGTAATTACAGGTTACAAACAAAAGTACAATTTCACAAAAAATTTCTTACCAAACGCACACCTTATTCCTTTCTTTGGAGCCTTCAAGTATGTATGAAGTGCAAGCAGTTTACGCATGTATGAAGAAGTGCAGTGTGTATTTATAATGCAACTACCAACGGCTACTTTGGAATCATTTAATTGCAACGGTTACTTTTTGAGCCAAGGCAACTTGTTCAGCCACTAATTACTTTTGGAGCCAAGATATACGATGACTGAAGCGGTTAGTTGATTTCAATGGCAAAGAAGGGTAAATATGTCATCTGAATGATGGTAAATATGTTATTTCAATCATTAAAGAAATAATTAAATGGGTCAAACCAAAGTCAAAGGGTAAAAATATCTTTTTACATGTAAAAAGTGGTCTGACACACATGTTAATTAACTTTTGGAGTGTGAGTAAAAAACGGAGCAAATTTTTGTAACGTGGGTGATACTTATTTTCTCCTTTTTTTTTTTTTTTTTTTTTTTTTTTTTTGTCAAACGCGGGTGATCGGCGACACTCTTCTCTCTAGGTGTGTGGCGCAAGAAAACTTTAAAACTTGTCGAGGTTTTATACGGAGTAAGTCTTTTCTCAAAATCAGAGCGCTCGTGTTCATCATCTTTCATCTACGAAGAGGTACGCCCTTTAACTCATCCTCAATCCTTTCAATCTCGTGATAAATTATTATGGTTGACTGCAATCAATTACTCAATTGGGTTTATACCCAACCTCTATTGGATCTAGTTTCTTTTACACTATCATTATTGTCATAATTATTTATTTGCATTCGTTGAAAACAAAAACAAACAATGGTTTTAGTTTCTAGGGTTTCTCGATGAATTCTCGAGAAGTCACGATCGATTGACTCAATTGCTGGGAAATTTGCATATTCCTCTGATTCGAGAAACTAGGGAAGCAGAAAGGAGTCTTATACTTACGATTTTGTTTCAATTTTTAATATATCTTTTTTAATCTTTGGTGTAATGGGTATATTTAATATACATGTTATTCGCTTTGATGAACTATATGCTTTCTGGTTAAATGAAAGAAGAAACCTGATTACCAATTCTTGCAAGCCTGTTTGGGTTTTTGTAGTCTATTTGTACTTCAACTATTTGGACAAGGTTCAGAGACTTGGTATCTTCCTTGGCCAAGAAAGAAGAAACCTGATTAGCTGTAGTGTTCTCTCTTGTTTCAGGCACTAAGCATGAAGCTTGACTTTAGTGGGCTTGAATTGGCTGCCCCACTCTTTGGGGCTAGCACCAAGCTGTTCGATGGGTTTTCAACTGCACCAACATTCGAGATTCCTAATACTACCGACGTAAGTTTGAATATATGTGGTATGTGTATAGTGGGTGTAGGGGGTTCAATAATCCCAAGGGGAGGATATATCATGTTCTATTATTTTTTTAATATACTTTTTTCTGTTTTAGTTTGATGACTTCCAGAAAGAAGCTGTACAAATGGTTAAGCCAGCAAAGGGGACAACGACTCTCGCTTTCATATTTAAGGAGGGAGTCATGGTGGCAGCGGATTCCCGTGCAAGCATGGGAGGCTATATCTGTATGCAATTTGTCTTCTCTTACTTAGTTCTCACTTTGTTTTGTGGAATATACGAATGTGTAGTTTGATCAATTATTCAATGAATAATTCAATTTGGGCCTTTTTCTTTCCCATTGTCACAATGCATCATATGATAAAATACCACTTTTCTTGTAGACCCTTATTTTTTATTTATTTTTTAATTATTAACATTAACCTGGAGCCTCGCATTTATTGTTCTCTTGTATGTGTTTTAATAGGTAAGTAGTCTAGATGCTATTTATTATTTCTAAATGTCAATCAGTAGAGACTTATAGATGATTCTTTATAGTTACAATATAAATCATCTAGAACCAATTTGTGTTATATATTACACTTCAAAAGGATGTTTTAGTAATGAGCTTTCTCGCCAGCCCCCTTCTTTCCAAATGTGAGTTCGTTCTGCTCTAATACTTGGTGATTTTTCAATGGCTTTCTGGCATATTGATGCAGAATGTTGTGAACTCTGATGCCAATCAACGTAAGAGAGTGAGAATAGAAAGAGAAGAAGGAGGGAAGGTGACAACAAAGAAAGAGATTTCATAGAGGATGAAAATACTACAAATCTGCACTGTCATTGGAAGCCTTGCGATTATAAAAATTTGAAAATACAAAAACAACCTTAAGTATATGTCCTTGGAAGCCTTGCGATTATTCCTACATCTAAAATAGGTGTACATCGACTGTGGTTCATAGCCTATCATTATCTCCAATGTCCTCGTGTCGAATGGTGTCCTTAAAATGGAATATTACTTAAATTTCTTCACGGTTTTACACTTGTTAGTTGGGGGAAGTTAGGAAGAAAACTATTGGCTTTTACACCCTTTTACTTACACCAACATTGTTTGTTTTTTTTTTTTTAATTTTCTTTTTTTCACATTTACACCAACATTGTTGAAGGATATGTTAATATGGGATTGTTTTCCTTAGGTTGCCCAAGACCGCTACATGACATTATTCTTAGTTATTAGTAAATAGTTTTTCCAAAAGAACTCACTTTGTTTTTTGCAATAAGGCTGCTAATGCTTCAGATGTGACTAAGGTGTTCTTTAACTAGTTTGTTAGGTCTCATGGGTTACTAACTTCCACTGTCTCACATTAGGATGCGAAGTTCGTAGGGGCAGATAACAGAGAAACTTTCCAAAATTGCAGCTGCACCATGGAAAGATTATTTTACTATATCTTGTTACATATATGATTTTATGAGTCTTGACGAAATCTAAGTGAAGATATCAAGCAGGAAAAGTGGTTTCTGCTAACAATAACTTAAAAATAACCACTAAATTGGCTAATTGTAGAAAGCACTCCCCTGACCCAAAAGATGGTTTCTTTCTTGAATGTCTCATAATATATATCTTCTTTGAAAAGTTGAAATATACAGTGTTGTGTTTCCAGAACTACTCTTTTTGAATGACGTGAATGCATTAGCTAATGCTAACGGAGGTTACTTTAGGAATTTTTTTGTTATTGCTCGAGTTGAATGTATTGATTGAGTCCTTAAAAAAATTAAAATTTCTAGTAGAGATTTATTTTTTGGGATGTAAGGGGTAATTTTTTAGTAGCTTGAATTATATATTGATAGCAATAACCAATTTTGTGCTTAGATATTATAAAATTTACAAAAATACACTAAAAAAATAGACACAGACTCTACAGGTTGTTAAAGAAGATAACTATTTCACGTAGCTGATTCTTGTTACACTTTAACTAATACTCATGCTACTGTCACATTGCCATCATTGACCATTACCATGAATGATGTTGAATTTTAAAACCATTGCCTCCAGATGGCATTTGGTATGGCAGGCCCTTGGGTAAGGTTTCTTCTTGTTGGCACTTTGTGATTCAAGAAATTTTAGTGATTATGATTTATGACTGGCTTGAATTTGGAGTCAAGTTGCTTCATGGCCTAATTTTGTCGCATGAAAAATTCTGACACTTGGGCATGAGTAACCTAATAAAGCATATGCTTCATGGGAGGCTCGCCTAAAAATTTTCTTCAAAACATTTCCTTCTACCTCATCTCAAGGTTTGCCTCAAAAACACTTTTTAGAACTCTCATGAATTGTATGATGCATGACAATAGCATGTGTTTATAGTGCCATTATTTCATACTTATCAAGAAAATAAAAAAAATATTGACATTATTTCACCGAATACTATTTATTATATTTTACTTGGTTTTCTTTTATTTTTAATTTACAGTAATCAAAATACTATGAACTGTTCAATTAGAGAACTGTGAGTTTGGTTATGGTTTTTATTTCATAAATGTGGTTACAATTAGAAACTTGGATTTCTAATGTAAGAAGGACTATGTAATATCCATTAAACATTTTTTTACATGCATTTTATGTTATCATAGTGTTTGTTTTCATTGTATTTGTGTTTTTAAAGAGCGTATTACAATTGTCATTGCAATTTTTACACAATCACAATCTGTGAAGGAAATAACCGAGATCAATTTTTGCATGCTAAGAGGACCATATGACATTTTATATTTTAGTGTCTGTTTTCGTTGCATTTGGGTTGTTTAAAGTGCATTTTACAATTAGTATTGTTATTTTTACAGCATCACAGTCTGTGAAGAAAATTATTGAGATCAACCCGTACATGCTAGGAACAATGGCTGGGGGAGCTGCTGACTGCCAGTTCTGGCACAGAAATTTGGGCATTAAGGTGATTCACTTTTGCCTTCAGATCCGTCACTTTATGTTAAATATGAATTAGGGTGGCATCTATTATGGTCTATGTGTGCATGTTGCAGATATTGTATATAATTTAGAATTTAATGTGTTTAAGAAAGTTCTTGCATAAAAAAGTTTTAGATTTCATTTGTTATTATATATATATATATATATTTATGTTAGCCAAAAGAAAGAAAAAAAAAAAAAAGGAAACGAAGAAGAAAGAAAATAAAAACTGTTATCCTTGATGACTAGCAAAGAAGGGGTTTGGTTCTGATGCATAGAGTTCTACTTCCCTCTATGTATAAAAACATGGGTCAAGCAAGAAAGTAAAATAAAGGACCACCTCCACCCCATTCTTTCTGTTGGTCTGATAATCTTATTATTTTGTTAGTTCATCACTTCATTGCATTCTTTTTGTTTGGATTGATCTGTTTGTGTTTTCTGTTTCGTAAATTCTGAACCCTTTTGAGTAATTTTCCTAGTGCTTATATTTCAGTGTCGATTGCATGAACTGGCAAACAAGCGAAGAATATCAGTTGCTGGAGCTTCAAAGCTTCTGGCGAACATTCTGTATTCTTACCGTGGAATGGGTTTGTCCGTTGGGACCATGATTGCTGGATGGGATGAAACGGTAATGACAATTGAATATTGTAGTTTGAGTATGTCCTGCATCAATTCCATTCTTGTGAGGCTCTTACATTGTGGCTTGTAGGGTCCTGGGCTTTATTATGTGGACAGTGAAGGAGGAAGATTAAAAGGAACCAGATTTTCTGTGGGATCTGGTTCACCGTATGCTTATGGTGTATTAGATAACGGGTGTGTTCCTTCCCAACTTCTTATATTATTATTCTCATATATGCTGTTTTCTATAGATTGTTAAACGTGTCATGTTGCATTTGTGAATTTGGTAGGTACCGTCATGATATGTCGATTGAAGAAGCTGCAGAGTTGGCTAGGCGTTCCATTTATCATGCAACGTTCCGAGATGGAGCCAGTGGTGGTGTTGCTAGCGGTACTCTCTCTCTCTCTCTCTCCCTCTTTCTCCCCACCACCCCACGCGGTGGCATGTGCGTGCGTGTTTCTGTGCCCACACGCACGCGCAAACTGCGTGTACCTGCATTATGGATTTGTCCTTGACTTCTGGTTTTGGTTTGTTATCAGTTTATTATGTGGGACCAAATGGATGGAAGAAGCTATCTGGTGACGATGTTGGGGAACTTCATTACATGTATTATCCAGTCGAACCAACAACGGTGGAACAGGAGATGAGTGAAGTATCAGGGGCTTGAGGTGAGAGTTGCTGGGTTGGTCTCCTTATGTCCAATTAATGTGTATTGATCCTATAACAATTACTTAACAGACCTGGACAAGTTTACAGCTGTTTTCCTGTGATTTTCACCTTCAAGTTTATGCTATCTTTATTTAGAGGCAGTTTAATCTTGCTGTGTAGTTTTTAATGGTGGTTACAATATTTGTGGGTCCTGTTGTGCTTGAAATATGTCTGGGAACTCTAACCCTAATCCTTCTTCCATGAGATTTCCTCTCAATTTAGTTATTCCAATATGCCACTTACTCAAAGACCTGGGAAATACCCAGGAAGAGACAGGGACTTGATTTTGTGATTGTAGGGTTAATGTTTCTCAATCCAGGAGAAATGGCTAGTTAGAGATCACAAAATCTTTCTCAGCATCAAACCATTCCGCACAATCATTTACTTAGTCTTAGATCCTGGATAGCAACCAGCAAGTATAGCGCAAAATATCATATAATTATGCCTAGTATAGCTGGGAACCTTTGTTTAAGTGATTCATACTCCAAGTACTTGCATAGTTTTTTCAGTAAATAAGTACTTGTATAGTTATTCTAACTTAGTATAAGCAATAAATTTTTTTCTCCAGCAACTAACTCTCTGACAATGATCTTGGATAGATTTAAACCCTCCACCTTCCCTTTTTAAAGTAGAGGGGATACCGCCACATGCTTGCTATAAGAAACTAGTTCAATTAGATTCAATTCAGGCTTCGTTAAGAGTCCTGAAATTACTCCGTCTTTTTCTAGGCCCGGTCGTCCCCTTAGTCGGTGGAAAAGGTCGGAGCTAATTGAGGTCAATAGGAAGAGGAGTGAGTTAGGAATCTATTGACAAAATTCATGCCGGGACGATCTATAGGGGAGTGTAGTTTTGTTGATGCATTCCTGTTGAGATTTCGCCAAGCCAGAAGAAAGCTGACCGGAAGGATCTGTGAGGCCTTCTTTGAATCCAAGGAGGGCTTCTCTCTCTCTAATTCAGTGCACAACAATTCGAAACTAACGCTAGAATTGAACCATGGAAGTAAAATTAGGTTGTGATTGGCCGGAATCATATAATAATTTTTCATTTAATATGCAAATATGTACTATAAATAAATCACTTTCAGTAATAATGAAGTATAGTTTTACAATTTTTGTATTAATGTGAAGATACTGTGTTATGACCTTCCACTCCACGGTGATAAGTTAATTAATTCGAAATCATTGTCCATCGAACAAGTAAAAAATAATGATTACTCAAAACTTCTTCCATTGACCTAAAATATTAGATTATATAGTACCCCGTTCTATTTTTCTTTCCTTCTCTCTCTTTATCAGATCTGAAACTTTGATTTAGAACTTGAAAGATACAACCCAAATCAAGAGGATAAAGGTAGACAAGTAAATTACTGAAACTTTGAATCTTGAATTTGCGCGTGGTATAGAAAAAAGAAGAATTGGTTTTAGGATACAAGAATGTTGTTCCGAGTGAGCTGATTTGTGCAAAAGACCACATACATGATACACCTTCCACTTAAATATTTTCATCTTCTTCTTCTTCATCTAGAAGATGCCCATCCGTCCACTGCATCATCAATCCAAAACCCTAATGCTTTATGGCTCGAAAGAGATCATTTTCTGGCGCCAAGGGTGATAACCAATTCGTAGTAGTTTTTAGACATAAGAGATGATTACGTGGCGCGTTTTGATTGGGGCGGGATATTACATCTCTCTACCTCGTCAATTCGACTGGATAGATGAAGTACTACTATAAATAAAGATACAATAGTAAATTAGATCAAGGGTAAAATAGTCAAATCGTTCTTCTATTAACGGCAACTTGATATAGTGACAAAAGAATAAAATGTGTATATATATATATATATATTTATTGATAAAAAAACACACGTGTGATACTACTAGGCCACAAAATCTTTGTAGAAATTATAAATATAACAATTTTACAATTCAAAGGCAATAAGAAAAAGTTAAATTTTGTTGTTAGAAACTAAAGGAATATATTGCATTAATATTGAATAAATGAAGAATACATAAAGATATGTTTGGAATAGGTGAATGATGGACAAATAATCTATAGATAATAATATGGTAGTATGGTAATTTGTAGTATACAAGAAATCTTAGTAGATAAAAGGATAAAAAAGATTGAACGTGTAAGGTGTCTAGTACTATTTTTTTTTTTTTTTTCTTTCTTCTGTATTCTTTAAATTGGGGAAAATACGGTGAAATTAAAATCTCTTCAAGTAACAGTATATGTTCTGTCAGTTGGTGGGGTTTTCGATTTATTGAACATCATATCATATGATATGGATGAATTTTAGTCTCTTCAAGTATCTTTGTGTTGAAATTGTTGCCTGAAAGGTTTTTGTTCTGTATTCAAATTCACCTTTTGCAAGATCAATGTGTATACAGTATACATGTAAAACATTGCTTCTCAGCCCCGAATAAATGGTAAGATTTTAATTGATGGAGAAGAAAATTAATACAACTTATGTATTATATTTTGTAAATGACAAAAGCAACCTAGTATTATATAACAAATAACACAAATTCAATTATCATATCTGCTGCCAAATCTCTGTTTCCGCCCCCAATGCATGCATCTTCAAACAAGCCCATATTGACCGCAGTCACAATCACACAGACAACAACATCAAAAACAAAAGCACAAAAAAAAAAAAGAAATCATTTTTCCCAACTTTCCTGCATCATTCATTTGCATCTTTCAAACCCCAGCATACTATGCAGACCAGCCAAACTCACTGCAATAACCGCACAATGAGGGATCAAAATGGGAAGTGAGTAAATAAATAAATAAGAACACTACAACTATGGAAATATAACAAATTGTACGTTCCATTACCTTAAACCTTAGCTTCTCCTCATCTCTATCATCCGTCGCAAACGAGCAACATTAATTGCAAAGAGCACGACGATCCAATCTTCAGCTTTATCTAGGAATCTGAAATAGGCATGTCTCCAAGACTTCTTTATAATCAAACTGCCAAAAATGGCCCAAAATCCCACAACGAATCCAAATCCCATGCTAAGGAAGAACCAGAGCTTATCAATCTCGTCTTCATTTTTGCCTTTCTTTTCATCGTCATTGTCTTCTACATCTCCATCGTTTGGCGTGGTGCACTCGGCTGACAATGGAGCCCCACAAAGCTCGGGGTTACCTTCATAAATGGATGGATCATTGAGGGTTTGGAACTGGTTGGTTGACGGAATTGGTCCTGAAAAGTTGTTATAAGACAAGTTCAAATGGTTTAAGAATGTCATAGAAGACATGCTTGGAGGAATTGGACCAGAAAGATGGTTACTAGAGAGGTCAAGAGTTTCTAAGTGCCGTAAGCCTCCAATTCCCTCTGGTATGTTGCCGGTCAGTTGGTTCCTAGACAAGTTCAAGGAGCCTAACCTTGAGAGATTTGTTATCTCTTTTGGAATTTGTCCATTCAAATTATTGCTTGAAAGGTCTATGGTTTTCACAAGCTCAAGTGTAAGGGTATATTCAAGTTGCCTTCCCTTCACAGTCACATCCAATTGAGGAGTATAATAAAGGCGGAGTGCAGATGGTAGCAAATTATACGAGTTCACAGAATTGAAGCCACTCAAATTGCCCAGACATGGTGGGATGGCTCCTGATAAATTGTTTTGCGCAAGATCCAAGATGTGAAGCTTAGCAAGACGACATATTTGTTCTGGAATTTTGCCACTAAACATGTTGGCCCGCATGCGTAGTTGTGACAGTGACGAAAGACTTTCTCCAATCCACTCTGGCATGCTTCCAGATAATTTATTATCTCCAAGATCAAGGGTTTCCAGGCTTGTGCAATTTCGTAAAGGCAGAGAAAGTTTCCCGGAAAGATTATTGTTGCTCAACTTCAACCACTCAAGCCAAGGGAGTGAACATATTGTGCCAGGAATTGTACCTGATAGATTGTTGTGGGATAGGTCTATGCTTGAAAGAACTGACAAGTCGTCCCAGTGATGGGGGATTTTCCCATATAAATGGTTTTTTGAAAGATCAAGAGCTACCAAATCCCTTAATTTACCCATGGACGCAGGAATGGTGCCCTTCAGGAAGTTTTCAGAAAGATCGAGAACTAGCAAAGATGACATGTTAGATGGGACTGGTCCTGAAAATGAATTGTTCTTCAAATAGAGAAACCTCACGTTAGGCCAGAGGGGAACTAGACCCTCTAGGCAGTTGAAGCTTAAATCCACTGTATAGGGAAATTCTAATGAATTGGGAAGCACTCCGCCAATTTGATTGTGAGAAAGATCAAGTGTTTCAATCTGCGGCGATAACTGCCAAAGCCAATCAGGTATTATGCCTGAAAGAGAGACATTTGTGAGGACTATGGATGAAAGCTGTGTCTGAGTTCCAAGCCATGCAGGAAACGCAGGACCCAACGGATAGTTACTAATTTTGATGGACTCTAGGCTAAAAGGAGGAAGCCATTCGTGTCTCACATCAAAAACAAAACTTTTGTCCAAAGATGAGATGGAGAACTGTGTCAGTTTTGTGAGACCCTGTAAAAAGTTTTGAGAAAGGACACCTTTCCAAGAATTCTGATAGAGTTGCAAACTCGTTAGTTCCGTTAGTTTTCCAACGCTTTCTGGGATAGATCCATTCATTTTATTAAATGAAAGATCTAATTCCTTTAAGAATGACAACCTTCCAACGGATTGTGGAATTGGACCTGAGATTAAGTTTTCGTTTATCAGAAAGGATCTCAAATTCTTAAGGCGTCCTAGTGAACTGGGCAACTGCCCACTGAGTTGATTAGACATCAAATTCAGCTTCTCCAAGCTGCTATTACTGCATCCAGACAAATCGATTAAGAGTTTCCCTATATCACCAACTATAGAATTAACAGATAGATCTACATTCTGCAAGTTACAGTGACTTCCCCATGCAACATTGCCAACAGGACCTCCTAATTTGTTGATGCTAAGATTAATATCCACAAGGGTACTAATATTAAACAACCATCCAGGTAACGAAGAGTTAAAGCCGTTGGAAGAGAGATCAATGACTGAAAGGGAAGTGAAATTGAGATTTGGTAGAGAATGAGGCAAGTTCTGAAGTCCACAGTTGCTCAAGTGCAACTCCAACAAAGAAGAAAGCCTATTTACAGTTTGCAACCAACCTGTTGCATTTCTAAGGTTCACACTATCCATATTGAGGTATTTTAAAGAAGGGAGACCAGAGATCCAGTTTAATTCCGAAACCCAACTATTTCCAGAAAAGAAATATGCAGAGACATCAAGATAATGCAGGTTTGATAGATTTCCAAGATGGGGTGGAATCATTCCACCAAAAGATGCTTGAGAAAGATTGAGATACCTCAACTTCTTAAGTGAACCTATGAATTCTGGAATTGGAATTCCTTGGAAATCATTCCCGCTTAGATCCATGTACTTCAAAAATTTTAAGTGAAGCAAAGAAGGACTTATCTTACCACCCAAATATGATGAGAAGTCATAAACATCCATTCTGAGGTCAAGCTTCACAACATTCCCGGTCCTTTTGCTGCAGCCTACACCCATCCATTTACAGCAATCTTCACCAACCCAAGAAGAAAGCCGGCCGGAAGGATCTGTGAGGCCTTCCTTGAATCCAAGCAGGGCTCCTCTCTCAAATTCAGTGCACCGCAACTTGAAACTACTAGCAACACTGGAATTGTTACTAATCGCTCCAACGAGAAGAAATTTTGAAAACAAAGGAATAAAAACAAAAATAACAAGTCGAAGAATGGTGCTCCAACAAGTCATTCTTGTTTCAAATTAACCACCGAGGATAAGGTAATTCTGTGATTTAAGGATCAAGGCTTAGATGCGTTGAATACATATATATATTGAATATGTAGAAACGCTAACTATTTTTTCGTTTGTATTTGTATTTGTATTTGTATTTGAGAGTGCACCAGGACTTGGCTTTTATAAAACAAAGAGCTTGACCTAGTGACAGTTCAATCAATTCCACTTTGCTGGTTTGGTCCAGCATTTAAAAGTCAAGTCTGTGATGAAAGCGTGGAAAATTTGAACCATGAGAGGGATAGTGGTAACTTGGCACGATGTTCTGCCAGTAGTTTCCATTCTACTTCTCCCATGTGGACCAGGGTTCAATTGGAAATAATTGCACCAACCACCCATGTTCTCCTATCATTTGATAGATGGATAACTAAGATTCCCAACACGCTTTCAAATTGTAGAAGTTGTAGAACCTCTTAGACTTAGAGTTGGAGTCAACTAAAGTCTTCCAAGTCCCAGTCAACAAAGCAATATATTTCTTGCGGGACATACTTTCTATTAAGCAGTGAAGAACTCTCCACGGCAATGTTTTTCTTCTTAGAAAACTGCTGAAATTCAATGTATTTTTCTCCAATAGATGATGTATATGCCCTCCTCATTCTGATGTGATCATTGTAAAAGATCCTAAGCAGTATTTCTGAAACTATCTCTAGTTGGCAACAAGCATTCCTTGCCACCAACAACCAGCACATTAGCAGCACTCTGGTCCAAATATCTCATAGCTTGAATTAATCAAGAAAAATATCCACGACAGTGGTGTGAATATGAAATATCGAGGATGTGGTGTGATAGCCCAGTGATAGGGCTTGTGCACCTTGTGGCCAAAGGCTTAGGTTCGAATCCCCACTCTATCAGTCAATTGCTTTACCTTCTAAAAAAAAAATTGAAACAATAAGCAATTGCATGAAATATCCTCTTTACAACACAAGTGTCTGCGTGAGAGAGAGGAACAAGAGCAAATTACCAATGCAACAATATCATTAAAATAACATTGTTGTTAGGGAATATAGGAATGTAAGCCACTGTTAATAGCATAGTTAGTTAATGTTGTTACTTTGTTAGGTTGAAAATAATCATTGAAAAAATGCAGAAAGTATTTCGGGCATTTAGAGTGTCACTGGCTCTAACTCACATCATCTGTCATCTCCGCATCCTCGGCCGTTATGATCTCCATGTTCCTGATATCTTGCTTCAACATGTTGCCAAGCCTTGCAACGGCTTCTGTCCGCTGTTGTACAACCTGCCCAGTAAAACATGAATCATTCGCTACTGCCATTACATGTTTTATGAAGCGTAAAAATATAAGAACTAATATTTGGTTTTTGGCAACACCCACTCATGGTTTAATTAAAGGAGGTGGTTACGGAGTTCGAACCATGAGAAACAGCAAATACATGGGGACCTATACGGACTCTTCGCATTTAAAATGAATTGACGGGAGAATAGTAGCCAATAGTAGCATTTTGTAATGCTAATATTGTTAATATTTTTAAAATCATGTGTTAATTGACAATGCATAACGCGGGATAAAAGACACTGATAATTATAACAGCACCCAATGGACACACTTTCAGCCTTAATCATGATGTTTCAGAGTTCAGACCTTGTCCGCTTACCTCCTGCATATCGACAAGACTCTGCTCATGTATCTTGGCTGATCCCGGAAGATAATTGAACCACCACCACCACCACCAGCATTTGCCTGAACACACGAGATATGGTGATCGAGTTTTGGACCCTAACCCAGTATTTTCTACCTCTAATTGACCCTTTATTCCATCCCAAATCAAAGTCAAACTATGGGGTTTTCATTCCAATCTTTTCAAAAAAATTCTCGAAGCGGTGCGATAGAAAAGGTGTTGTTGGCGGTGAAGGAGATGAAGCCAAAAACAGTGATGAACGTCAAGGAATCAACCAACCAAGACTAGATTTCTTGAACCCATTCATGGAGTCGTTGCATTATTACCGAACTTTGTTAGACGGGTTGTGGAAAGAGGAATGGCAGGGGATAATGTTTATAAGTGAGGGCAAAATTGATATTTCACATTAAAAGCTTTTTTCTTTTTAAAACATTAAAAATATCAAGGGTAAAATGAACATTACACATATCTTAGAAAGTTTAAAATAATAAAGGTAAAATATTGCGAATTATGTATAATTTGTTCAAATCTAAGTAAGTTGTTGTTTTTTTTTTTTTTTTGTTTTTGGGACCAAAATTTTATTATTGTGTCTATGTTGGGCAGTGTCTATAAGTGTCAATCACTTCTTTTCCGAAGAATGTGAGACATCAGACAAAGCTCATTCTTGACAATACCGGATTAAAACGAACAAATAAGTTTTTATTGACTTGAAGATGCTACAGTACTCAAAATCATATAATATTTTGTAATTCAAAAAATAATTGTTATAAAATAAATTTAAAATATGAAATACAAGACATTATTAGGTCTTCTGGGCAGAAAGTTCTATTTTGTATTTTTTATTTCATATTAAATAAACATAGTAACTTTTTTTCCCCTTTGTGGTGCAATTTATTCCGAAACAAAAGCATAACTAATTTGTTGCACAATATTTCACTAAAAAACATATATTTAATTTATTCTAAAAAATAGTATTGTAACGACTCGAAAAAATACCAAAATAATAATAAAAATCTATAAAAAAATTTCGGCATGACCTCCGCAGAAAATGTCCCTCAATAACCTGTAGAAATACAAAAATAAATGCAATAGTCTCACTGGGCCTTAAATCTAACTTATCCTGTCCCAACGCACAATTCAGATATTATATTACATTCCCAAAATGGCTACATACATACAGAAGTCATGTTCCTCTATCTCATCCAAACAAGAGATATACTTTAGTTACATCAATTTACAGTCCAAAATGTAATAAGAACTTAAAAGTTCATAACTTATAACATTATACTAATTAAACTAAAGTGTCACAAGGTAGTTAATATTACATTTACAAAATACTAGAGTCTAATACAAAAGATAACAAAATATAATGGGTCTTCAAGATCATCTAAACCTGTGGTGGACCGTCGTCCGCCACCTCTTTTTCATATCCTGAAAAATGTTAAAAAGAAGGGGGTCAGCATAAGCTCAGTATGAAGTGTCTAAGACACATTTCTTATGTCCCCGTGAATCCATACAATGAATAGATAAAAAGTGAACGGGATCATGCCATCGGAAAATACACATTCTCAACCACAATAACAAGTATATAACAAATATCAACCAATCACAAATTTACCACAATGTCATGAAGTGCAATGTTATGCAAATGTCACTCCCCATTTCCGAAATAATTCCGTTTCAACAACCAAACCGTTAATGTAGTCCAACCCAAGGCACCTCAATGGCGTCACGAAAGGAAGGTTGGTTAACTATCCACGATCATAAGGCACCTCTAAGGCATCGCATCCGGCCTAGTTAATTCAACTACATTCCCTTCTAAATTACACCAACATCACGGAGCACTAGGCGCCTCCTAGGCGTCCGGTTTTCGCAACACTTTTAGAAAATATTTTCCCCAAAATAATTTTATTTGTTCTAACAAATATTTTTCCCCCTTTCTCTTTCCCAATGGATGCATGAATGCTTCATACTTCAAATCATTAATTTAACTATATGTTTTCACACATTTCCATTTACATCATCATCACAATTTAATGAAAATTTCTAAACATTCATTTCCTTTATTTATTTATAACCATAGCACCCATTTTTCTTTAAGACAATAAATAAATAAATAATCATGGAACATATAACACATCAAACACTAAGCATGTTCATTTACTGTAATGAAAATAGACATGTATATGAACTCAAATAACACATGGAACACAATTATCATTGTAATTACACATGACTACAACAACAACAAGCTAAGTAATTAAAATTTAGCATGCTTAGGATCAAATTTAAGGGAAAAAATTCACCAAAGGCCAAGAAATTGTAACACCCCTACCTCAATGGAAGTGAAAACCCTCAATTTGAGCCCAAGAACCCTAGAATTTCGAACTCCTTAGAGTGCACCAAATGATGATTGGCTCCTATCAAATTGATGACCTCGACGAGCTCAACAACTTTGTTTTACAATGTTCTATCAAAATTCAAAAGATTACAGCTAGATCAAGCTTTGAGATTGCAAAAAGAAAAAAAACAAAGTGAGATGTCAAAGGATGCAGCAGAGAGACAGAGAGAGAGAGGAAACAGTTGAGTCGTGAAATGGCTTAGGAAACAGTTGAGTCGTGAAATGGCCTTATGGCCTTTTGTGTGGTAATATGTTGGTGGGCCCACCAACTTTTGAGAAAAAAGAATAACTTTATAACTTTAATATATATATATATATATATATATATATATATATATATATTTATCTCACAAACATTGCAAGTATTTACATTGTTTTGCTTTTTAAAATTGGTATTCACATTGTTTTGTTTTTAAAAATTTTTTAAAAAAAATCTCATTACAGTTGTTCAGTTATAATAATAAAAACGAGTGAAGAAAAAAAATAAAGAAGAAAATAAAAACAAAAAAATATGATAGAAATTTGAAGGAAATCACAGTTCGATGGAATAAAGGGAATGTAATATTTTGAAGAGAATTATAAAATAAAAATAAAAAAATGAAGCAGAAGAATAAGAATGAAAAAAACTAAAGAATTAGAGAAATTTTTTTTAAAAGATAATTCTAGGGGAGGCAATTTATAAATTTTTATAAATTATAGGGTTTTTTTATAATAATAATAAAAAAAAAGAGTGGTACCAGGCTACCAGCTGGGTCCATGCCGGATGCATTCCTTTGTGAATCGTCACAATTACCCCCTTCTTTCCCTATCATGTCCAGCAGCTCATAGATTTGACTAAAAATTAATTTTGATACCAAAAATCTGTGACAAATCATCACATAAATATTGTCTGATTTATATACTCTCTATGCTAACAACCTTCAAATTACAGGCGTCCTCAGGCCCAAGTGTCAACCTGTGTCGGCACACTTTATCTCCATTATTTCCTTCCTTCAAGGCCATGAATAACTTTCGTAATAGATTTTCCCAACAGATGTGACTGCTGTGGAAAGGGCAAAAGAAATGCTTTATGATTGTACATCTCCATTCATATAGAGAGTCAAATTTTAGAGGTCTAGTCACACAGTTCACTTTTGTCAAAATCCTTCCCGATATTTCAACAGTTTGAAGTGCATTCTATTAACTGAATTTATGTAGTCAACCCGGGCTGTGTTGTTCTTTAGAAAATCAAATATTAGAGTTCTAAGTAACATGAACATTTTAACAGTAAAGATTCATTTCAAAGATACTGTGATTAAGGTATTTTTATTAAAAAATTTAATCTTTACGCATTAAAATACTCTCGTGACTTTAAAGGAAACTTAGATTAAGTTTAACTCCAGAGGGCTAGCAAGATGTACCAACTTCAAAGAATGTTATGAAAACAAACCGTAGCTACAGTTTTGAACCACATGAATGATTTCCAAAACGGTCTGTGCCAATTGCCTAATCGCAACTCTGTCCAATTCACAGTTCCATTTGCAAGTGGAGTGACCAGTAAAAAATCAACCAACTAGATCCACCCAATGACCCAAATAGTCTCGTAGAGGCCTCGATTGTATACTGCTGAAATTCAATATATTTTCTCCAATACATGATGAATAAGCCCTCATTCTAATGTGACCATTATAAAATATCGATCTTAAGCACTATTTCTGAAACTTTATTAGCAAACTAGCAACATTCGTTGCCACCACCAACCAGCATATTAACAGCACTCTGGTCCTATTATCTCATAGAGATTAAATTAATCAAAAAAAAAAAATATCCACAACAAAGGTGTGAATATGAAATATGGATGTACCAATAAACTTCAAACACAATAAGCAATTGCCAACATGAAATGTCTCTTATACAACACAAGTGTCTGTGAGAGAGAGGAACAAGAGCAAATTACCAATGCCTTGATATCATTAAAATAACACTGTTGTTAGGGAATATCGGAATGTAAGTCACTGTTAATAACTTAGTTAATCTTGTTAGGTTAAAAATTATCATTGAAAAAATGCAGAAAATATTTCGGGCATTTAGAGTATCACTGACTCTAACTCACTTCTTCTGTCATCTCCGCATCCTCTGCCATTATGATCTCCATGTTCCTGATATCTCGCTTCATCACGTTGCCAAGCCTTGCAATGGCTTCTGTCTGCTGTTGTACAACCTGCCCAGTAAAATATGGATCATTCGCTACGGCATTACATGTTTTATGATCCGTAAAAATTTTAGAACTAATATTTGATTTTTGGTAGCACCCACTCATGGTTTAAATAAAGGAGGTGGTTACGGAGTCCGAACCATGAGAAACAGCAAATACATGGGACCTATACTCTTAGAATTTAAAATGAATTGACAGGAGAATAGTAGCATTTTGTAATGCTAATATTGTTAATATTTTTAAAATCACGTGTTAATTGACAACGCATAATGCATAACGCAGGATAAAAAGCACTGATAATTATAACAGCACCCAATGGACACACTTGAGCCTTAAGCATGATGTTTCAAACCTTGCCCACTTACCTCCTGCATATCGACAAGACTCTGTTCATGTATCTTCGCTGATCCCGGAAGATAAATTGAACCACCACCACCACCAGCATTTGCCTGAACACGGGATATGGTGATCAAGTTTTGGACCCTCCTAGAAAGCTCTGCTCCAGATCCTTTCAACTGCAGATGTGTCTGCTTGTCAGCACAATTCCTTCTACTGCCAAGAGTTGGAAGCATGAAATGGAAGGATAAAAGGACAATGAACACAAACCTGTCTAGTTATTGCAGCCAATTTCTCAGCCAATTCAGCTTCTCCTTTCATTAAAGGTACTCGGAAACCCTTCCCCTCCAATCCCTCCACTATTCTCATCATCTTTTTACCACAAAAAGCAGCAGCATTAAAACTAAAAAGTAGATCTAACACTGCATGAATAAAATTTTTTACACAAGAATGATATAGAATGAACCAATGAAAAAGACACGTCCAGGTTGGACAAATCATCTGATAAAACCCAGACATGTCAGAAAAAAATTATATAAACAACAAGAGAAGTGTTCAATCAGACTGCAGAAATGTTTTACAAACATGCTTCATAACCACTTTCGTCTTCGGTAGATGATGGCAACTAATCAGGCCAGAAGGGAAATTGCCTAGTTTTTGGTGCAATCTAATCATTCCTCTTTTATACACAAGTTTAACATATAAAAAGAAAATTTGTACCCTTAGGAGGCGCCTTTGAAGACCTTGCTCTTTATGTCTCATTCTTTGGATCCAAGGAAGAGTCTCAGCTTGCAAATGCCGTTGAAGCTGCAATGGGACATAGAATATTTCAAATCCACTTACCATATATAAATATAATTCAAGTCCTTGACACAGAGAGTGAGAGAAACTACCATCTTCACATTGCTTTGAGTCATCCTCAATCTCTCAGCATCTGAAACTATTACTTCATCCTGAAGCTGCATCAATTGAACCTTAAACTGTTAAGTATTCAATAACCACAAACTGCAAAGGGACTATTATAATAACAAAAGAAAAATCTGTTTTGTGGGGGGGGGGGGGGGGGGGTGGGGTGGTGAGAGGGAGGATTCAAGAGAGAGAGAGAAGAGAGGGGATGAGAGGGATCTGCATTAACATGAAAGCACCCAAGAGATGGGCATCCCAGAACAAAAAATTGCACTCACCAACTATGCCAAAAAACTACATGACAAAAACCAATAGATCAACAACATATTCACTCAGAATCCGTGCCATAAGCATAATTAAAATTTTATTTTCACAACCCACTTTTCTTTCCTTCCCTCCAAGAATTGCAGATGTCTTCTCATACATGTGTTCATCGACAAATCCAAAATCCTTGCCTGAGTCTACAAGTTCTAAACTAAACTCAACTCAACAAAGCCTTTACTCAACTGCTTGCGGTCAACTATATGGATCCTATTTTTCCATTCTACTCTATCTAAAGGCTATAGCCTCAGGAAAACTACATTCTTTCCTTACTAACTCTACCCATGTTGGTTTGGTCTTTCCCCTTCCTAATATTACACTTATTAATGTGGACCATGTCATTCTTCCTAAATGATGTACATAGTGGTCTTCTTTGCACACGTCCAAACTATCTTACTGGATTTTCTCCCATTTCAAGTTGGAGCTACTTCAACTACCTCACGCATGTGTTCATTTCTAATTCTGCTACTTCTACACCATTTCTCACTCTTTTTTTTTCTTTTCTTCTACACCATTGCCATAGTGGATCTATAACAATCAAATGAAATATGATTTTTCATACCTCTAATGGTTATCCAGATTTAGGCAGCAATTTCATTATAAAGGAAATTTTTGGCATTATTTTAGCCCGTGAGAAGCAGCAAACAAAATGAAATGATTTCATTTTCCACCTGTTCGATGTCCTAAAGAGTATCAAGAGGAAACAAGTTGAAAAAATAGATAAGCATTAGAGATTACTTCGGTTTTTATTGTATGATCCTGAGACCTATAATGATCAAGTCCATGTTCTACTCGAGTCCTATTTTTTGTCTAGTTTGGGTACGGGCATTGTTGGCCAATTTCTAGTATGTTGTCTTATGTTTTGAGAGTAAAAGGTAAATACCTCAAAAAAATTCTAGACATGGGGCTTCAGTAGTGGTTAATGAAACACTTTGGATCAATTATGGTAGCAAATCTTCATATATATTAGGGAAAATTACCCTGACCTCCCCTAAGGTTTGGGAAAATCACCATCAGTTTAAAGTTTAAAAAAAAAAAAAAAAAAAGAGTGAAATGCCTATATTGAACACTATGTTACCTAAAAACATTATTTTACTCTAAAAATAAAATAAAGATATTACTTATCAAAAGTAAATAATAAAAAAAATTTGAATAATATGAATATGTAGTGGTGTCCGTGTGACCCTATGCTTAAAGATTTGACACATCTAACACGTGGATGCATACCCGCACATGTACCCAAGTACATGTAACACAGATTTAAACCATAATATTTTGGACAAAGATACCCTTACCAATTTGATTATAATATTATTATATTTAATTTATAACTATTAAATATATTTTTGGAAATTGAATATATAACCAAAAATAAAAGACATGTACTTATGTCTATGCCAAATCAAGATTACACATACCCATGCACAAAGAAGAACGCACAACAATGAGGACTTCATGCACACTAAATCTTTGAGGCATTTTTCCAAAAATGACACCGGCATCTACTTTGGAAATGATTTTACAGCAAACAAAGTGAATAATCAAACCTACCAATCATTACCCTCCCAATGCAGTATATATTTACAAATCATCCCCTATTTGTTCTCTTACTCATATTCAATCCCTAGACTCCAAAAAATTACAAATATATGTACAATTATACAAGCATATATTTGATATATAAAACAATTACATAGGGTTTTAAAGATGACGAAAGAAGATGAAACATGGAGATGGTCAAAATCAACGGAGCTTCAATTCACAATACGAAGGATGTGATAGAGTCAGAGGAAATTGAGGGCCATGCATGGGTTCTTAGAGATTGTCTACGAGAACAAATGAGAGGTCCTTGAAGGGTTGGCAAAATAAAGTGAAATCAACAAAGTAAGAGCATGGCAGAGAATGACGGACCTTAGAGATCTTGAGCATGCATCTTTGATTATAAATATAAAATTTATGCTATTATATATATATATATATATATATATATATATATATAATTTATCAAGACTACTAGACTACGGCTAATAGAAAAAAGGAACTAAAACCAAAATTAAAAAAAAAAAAGGACAAAAATACCTCAGATTTGATTGGCACAATGTAAATCTGGAAAATAACCCTTATTGCTTCCAATTCAGTAGATCTATCCTTCAAATCAACATATCTATCCCCCAACCATTAGAAGAGTGTAGAAGATCACTGCAGTTAAAGTGGGAAAATTGTAGTTCCACACACCCAATTCTGTTTTTGACCAAGTCAAGCCATAACAACCACCAAGGGCTATGGCCCAGTGGTATCTCCTCTATCTTCCAAAGTGGAGGGTGAAGGTTCGAGTCCTCTTAGTGACAAATGGGTGTGCAAGTTTCTTGCCAAGGGGGAAAAATAAAGTCAAGCCATAACAGCCATTTTTTTTTTTTGGATAAATATCAAGCCATAACAGTCATCAAACAAAACTAACGTCCATCAAGTACAGAACAATTGGCAACATTCGTTAACAGTAAAATATTTTCCTGTAACATTACAGGCAATTTCTTCTGTAATAAAGTAGGGTCTAACAAGATTGGCAGCTCCAAAATCCATTACAAATTACGTAAGGGCTGATATTTAACTTTAACTCACTCTCTCTCTCCCTCCCTCCCTCTTTCTCTAAAATTATACATAAATATATGTATGTACATATTCCATGTTGAAATTGATAATATGGTTTACCAACATGAGCCATATTTCACCAATGTGATTTAGCTAATCCTCCTCAAGTTCAGTACAAAGTTCTTTACAAATAAGGGTCAAGGAATCCTTCTTGATAACAGAGTTCATTTCATTTTTTGGACTGTTTCACTGTTAGCCAAATGGACCGACAATTGCAACTCTCTCATTCTACATTTTTTTTTTACCTCGATAAATCAACACTGATTCCAGAATTTATATATATATATATATATATATATATATATATATATATATATATATATATTCATATAAGAATAAATTAATTAGTGACAATAAATTAGCTCATTAATTCAATAAGAAATTACAAATAATAAAAATCAAACCAACAAGCATGTTAATATATTGGGATCACTTCACAGGTAGCTCTATTAACAATGCATCTCCACTTCAGTGCATCTGTTCTGATAAGGAGAACTAAATGCTCACAAGTAAAACATTCACGTGCAAGCAAGCACATAATTACTTACTGATTGAGTATACAACTCAATATTAAAATTCAATTAAAATTAATAGAATAAAGAAATGCACGAGTTTATTTTGATCTTATAATGTAACAATGTGACTCAATCTTTTAGCTCCTAAAAGCTAAGCCAAAACTAATATCAATAGAAGTTAAATGAATATTTTGCTAAGTTGTCAATACTGCAATATCAACACAAAAACATAATTGCACACTCATAAAAGCATGCATGCATACCTACCATATGTGTTTGTATGTTGGTGTTTATAGAATAATTTATTACCCAACATAGTTTCCCAGGTAATGGACCATCTCCTCGGCAGTCTACTTGATATTAAAAGCCCATGTGCTTGTACCAAGAAAAAGAAAAAAAATCCTTTTTTTTTTTTTTCATATAATTAATGGGCCATTGAGCAAAGACCTTTATGCTCCATAGCTATAAGAAGTACCTTCAGGCGCTGTGAAAGATCTTTGAAACCCTGAACAAGCTGAGGCCAAAGGCGTTCCCTATCAGAACTCTCCATACCCTCCAGCTTCCCCATTGCTTCCGCCCACATGATCTGGCAAAGCAAAGTATTGCTTAAACTTAGCAAGAAAAAGAAAACCCTTAACAAAGTAAACAACATGCTAACGACAAACCAGAATTTGTACAACAAGAGCAAGAAATCAAGAGTCAATGGCATGTTAATGGACTCACGTCTGATACGCCAGCAGGCTTTATCCTAAATTGAGGTTCAGTCACACTGAACAACAAATGCTGCAAATCAATAGAAAAATATTTTGTAAATCCCACAATCCTTTACACTCAGTTTGGTTGTTGAGAAGGAGATGACAATAATAATAATAAAAACAAAAACAACAATAATAATAAGAAAATAAGTTATGGATATTAACATTATTCCTCCTTGTTTTTTTGGACCAATAGGAAGAAAAGCCTCCTTGCAACCGAGGCACTTACAGCTTATTGAAGTAATTTCATTCATTTTATACACGAATCATAAGATTCAAACAAATGCAGTATATTACATTGCATGTAACATTTCTATCAGAGATAAACGAAGAACAAAGAAAAGAACCTTAAAAGCATATTTAGGGTTCCCAGGCTCTTCCTTATAAGCATCAACAATAGCCTAATAATACAAAAACAAAACGTTAATAAAGATTAATAATAATAATCAAATTGAAATTGAATAAATGTAGGGGTAGGGTTTAGGGTTTTGCAGAAGATGTAGAATTGACCTGAATATCGCGATCAGCGAGAGAGAAAGGAAGAGGAGCGACAGGCGCCATTTGAGTGGTCAACTGAGAATTAGCGAAGGGAGTCGCCGACTGTCCGAAAGGAGTGGATTGCGGCGGAGGAGTGGCGCCGAAGGGAGTCGAAAAGCCGAAAGCGCTGGCGCTCTGTTGCGGCTGAAACATCGAGGGCTGTTGCTGTTGCTGTTGTTGTTGCTGCTGTTGTTGCTGTTGAGAGAATGGGGTGGAGAAGAGGGATGTGCCGAATCCGGTGGCGAAGGACGGCGTCGATGGCGTGCCGAAGGCTGGAGTGGAGGAGGGAGTGCCGAAAGCTCCGAAGGCAGGGGTTGAAGATGGGGTCCCGAAGGCCGACGAAGAGGCCTGAGCTCCGAACATTGTAGCGAATCACAATCTGTCTGTGAGAGGATAACAATACTTTATGCCCTAGATATTTAGATTAGAGTGTTGTCAAGCAATTGCCGCCATTTTTGAGGGACTAAATTGGAAGGAGATGGAGGTTTGGTGTGATGAGTTTGCATACATGTACTGTACACAGAGTAGCCGCTTTGGGAGGTGTTTGGATGGAAGAAACTTGCATCCGTTTGGATCCAAAAGTATTTTAGAAATGAGGAGGAAAAGGAAAGGGTTTTAGCTAGGACTAGGAGTTTAGGAAGGAATTGGGGCTTTTAATATGTGGGTAGTATAATACTATCTTGGTTCAGACTTAAAATTGACTACAATACTGTAGTTTGTTATTATAATCATGAATTATATTAGTGAAGGAAAATGATATACTTAACTGCTTTATTATCGAAGTATATACTGATTTAACGTGGCAATTCATTCATAATAGCTATATAAATATAACAAAGTATTTTTATTCTTTTGAAAAATTAAGATTGATTTTTATAACATTACTCGTTAGTTAAGGAAAAAAAATCTAATTTTGTCGTCTCAATTAAAATCCATTAATTATTATTTTTTTTCGAATGAATAGTTTAGGCAATGATTCAATTTATGCTAACGGAACCCCCCATCCCTCTCAGTCACTGCTCTTTCCATGGTATAAACTTTTAATGTTCTAAGACAAAATTGCATAAACACCCACCAAATGCATTGTCTGGACTCGAGTTTAGGATGAGCAAATACACCACTTTATTATAGAGGGATGCAGTTATAACACATTTTACAGCGGATGGCTCTTTGTTAGGTGGGATTTATAGTTGGTCAGCTGGGTACACTTTTGATGAGGCATGTATTTTGCAACTGTATTTTTGGTTTACTCTGCTGCTCAATCTGTTCAACTGAGTTGAGAAATTATTCTCGTCCCGCGTGCTAACACAAACAAAAAAATGTGAGATAAAGCTGACAGATTTGGTTATGGCCCGAGACCATATAATAAATACTCCACCCTGAATAATTTACAAATATCAAAGAAATTCTTAACTACAATTGGCACTAGAAATTTCTTTCTTATGCTCATTTTTTCAGTTTTGTCCCATACCACACACACCTACCTTAGTACTTCGCCACAGTATGCATAAAAAGTAGGACAGAAACCCACAAGGCAGGCTTTGGTCCATGGAGGCATCGCCTGGGTTGCCTCCCGTCAACAAATAAGGCCTTTGCATTCACGAATACTTAAATAGTGAGATTGAACATGGAGTTAGAGACCCATAACATGCAACCATCAAACATAGCAGCTAAAAAAAAGTGTAGGAACTGCTGGAAATTGACAGTAAGATGAAGTGAATATATCAATACTCCACAGTTTCATCATCAGCTGGGAGATTGAAATTGATAACATAGGATTAAAGCTACGTGCGAAATAATATGAGCATCAGCCCCATGAAACACACTTTCAACTGAATCGTGGGGATGAACATGCAAAGTGATGCTTGATGGACGCCTGGTTGAAGACAGAAGAAGTGCGCGTAATCAGTAAACCTCCTGCAACTGTTCCATCTCAACTATAGAACAGAAAGACTTTGCAGTGAAATAAGTCTCTTTGCATTACACCAATTACCATTAGAGGCCAAGAATCTTCGTTTCCAAACGGTCTCTTCAAAGATCCACCATGCTGAGAGAGTAGAAACTCGAGACAAGGATAATATTCCAACAGTAGTTGACAATCAAGAGTCAAGACCACTCGTGTCTTTACAGGGATAACCTTAGTTGTTCCACATATGCACGTCCACGCAATCAAGCAGCCAAAAATTTGCCAAGCAAATAAATTTTTCACCCAAGAATAAGAAAAGAGTTACTGTTATAAATTAGGACTCTTTTTAGACATAAATTATAAAGTTTTACGTGTTGGTTCTCTTGAGCTAAAGGTAGGACTCATCCATAATTTTTCCCGAAGATATAAACGGAAATGATTCCAGTGACTCGCTTGCAGGTTAATACAAAGTCACAATTCCAAGTTTCCTGTACCTAAAATTATGACATTTTACTTTTTTCATCTTCTCCCAAAAGAACCACATCAGCTTATAGGGGGATCTCCCTCGTATCCTTGTAAAAGAGAACATTACATAAAGTATTTCTTTAGGATCAATTGGAGATATGTGTACTTATCAGATGTCAAGGGTTTAGACAATTACCTTTTGCATAAAGAAATGGCATGATATACCAAAATGGCTGACTAAACCAGTCACTCTACATCAATGAATTGAAACAGATCATGCATCTTCTGCAAAGATCAAACTTGTTACCCAATAACACTTCGCATAGAGCTTACCCAATAACACTTCGCATAGAGCTTCTACTAATATAAGAGACAGGTCATAATTTGTACACTCACTCATGTTTGTTTCAAACACACCTCTGTCCCAAGAGCATACACAAAACAAGTGAATGACAATAACAACTGAACAATAGCAACTACTAAGGATGGGTAGACTACCCTTCACAAAATAAGCTAAATGCAATGTCAATAGAATTGCAGCTCAACAATCACGAGAAGGAATTATATGAACAAATACAAAATTGAATGCCTGATATTAGCATGACTAATTATGTCTTAAGTAACCTGGCTAGCCTTTTTTAGTTCTCTAGGGTTGATGCTGTCAATCCTATTTGATCTCACACTTTACAATAAAATGTATGTCTTAATAACAATATTTATATGCTTAGAGGGCCAAACTAGACCTTGAACCTCACCAACCGTATGCATGTTTAGCTACCAGTGGCATCACTTGACAACCCTAAGCCACCTATTTGTATACTAACCCAAAGTCAAATTCTGAACCTTGCTCGGTGTTATTTCATATAATGGTCATTTTCATTACCTCGTAATACCAGTATGCCTTGAACTCAAAACTTGTAGAGATGGCTACAACCAACATAAGTAAACTCCCACAAAACAAATATTACACAAAAGAAAGGTCAAATTCTGAAATTCCTGACTGGTTGTCCAATGTTGAATTCCTAAAAAGCCCATATATATGTTACCTTGTACACCAGTGAACCCCAAACCGCAACTACAGGACAGTTCCCCTTTTCAGATTCATCCATCAAAACAAAATAGTCCTTGGCTTCTCTTGCACAAAAACCCCTCAGCCCCTCCCTTCCCAGTAGTATTTCTGAAATGCTCCAAAGATTCACAGCCAATGCTTCAAGCTTGTACAACTTGGCTATACTAGGAAAAGATTTCTGGAGTATGCCTTGAACCCAAAACTTGTAAAGATGGCTTCAAGCTTACAACTAACACAAGTCACCTCCCACAAAACAATGACTATATTAACAAAGGTTGAATTCTAAAATTCTCGACTGGTTTTCAAATTTAGATTTCCTAAAATGCTCATGTACACTTCATTTATAACATCAGTGAACCTCAGACTGCAACCATGGCAGTTCCTTCTTCTGAATTAATGCATCAAAATACTATCAAAAAAAAAAAAAAAATTAATGCATCAAACCCAATAGTCCTCAGCTTCATTAATCCCTCCCTCCATCCCTCCCTAGTAGTGTTTCTGACATGCTCCAAAGATTCACATTTATATTGGTTAAAGCTTGTAGAAACTTGGCTATGCTAGGACAGATTTCAGGAGTATGCCTTGAACACCCAAACTTGTAAAGATGGCTACAAGTAACATAAGTAAACACCTAGGAAACAAATATGAATATACTATTACTAAACAAAGGTCTAAATGAAGTTCCTGATTACTTGTCCAATATTTGAATTCCTAAAATGCTCATATAAGATACCTCATAATACCAGTGAACTTCAAACTGCATCTATTTACTTAATTATTTCAGAATCTGGCGGAGGATTTCATTTATAACTACAAGATTTAGAAAGACTAGGAGAATGTCACATCTATTGCTTAAAGCTTGTAGAAACTTGGCTAAACTAAGAAAAGATTTCAGAACAAATTAAAAAATTTGGCTCTTCGTAGTTTTGACCCAGAAAATAAATATATATATGTATATGTATCTATCTTCATTTTCTATAGGATGGTATCTCTAACTTTATTGGCAGTACGCAGGTCTATCTGAATCAACTATAAGTCTTCTACTAGAAACTCCTGTGTTGATGAGGCCATAGCATGATTTTCTATAATCATCATCATAATCCTTGCCCTTGTCCCATATTGATGGGGTCGGCCACATAAAATTCTCTTTTTCCATTCGTTCCTATTATAAACCTCGTCTCTTACAATATTTAATTTTTAAAAATAATTTTTAATTATTTCATCCCATGTAAGTTTTGGGTGGCCTCATTGCCACTTATCTTCTAGGGAAAAAAAATTTCCTCTCCTAAATGATGCATCTTCGGCTCTACATTGTACATGTCCATACCACCTAAGCCTACTTTCTCTAATTTTTTCACTAATAAGAGCTACTCCTAACTTACCCCTCACTCATTCATTACTAATCCTATCTCTTCTAGTTACTCCTATCATGCATCATACATCCTCATTTGCACTTCATGAATGTGTTGTTCTTGTTTCTTTTCAACACCCAACACAGGGCTCCATACAACATAGTTGGCCTAATAACAAACCTATAGAATTTTCCTTTTAATATATTTGAGATTCGTTTGTCACATAGGCTGCAACTAGCTTGCCTCCATTTTGTCCACCCTGCTCCAATCTTTCTTACTACATTACCATCTATCTCCCCATTTTTTTGTAATAATGACCCTAAATAGGAAAAATAGTCATTTTGAGTAACTATTTGATCTCGAATAATAATATTTATATTGTCTTCTTCTATTACTTCATCAAAATCACATCTTATATACTCTATTTTACTTTTACTAATTTTTAAACCCTTGCTTCTAAAGCTTTTCTCCATAGTCCTAATTTTGTTGCTAAAGTTTCTTTCGACGTATCTATTAAAACTATGTCATCCGCAAACAACAAATACCTTGGAATTTCTTCTTGGATATCTTCCATTATTTCATCCAACACTACTGTAAATAGGTATGGACTTAACACAGATCCTTGCGGTACTCCTACTTTTATGGAGAAAATCCCCAGCTTCTCCACATGTAGTACGAACTCTAGTCAACGTCTCACTATATATATCCTAAATAACTGATTTGTGACTCATGATCATGATGTGACCTTGACAAAATGATTAAAGATATATTAGTGGCATATGGATTGTAGATGACCCCATCCACCACCACCTAAAAATTGATTCATGCAAAAATGAAAAAATGATGCACAAAAGTGAAAAGGATTGCAGCAGATTTTTATTATTATTATTATTTCAATAGCAGCAGTCTATGTGCAAGGAAAACCTGGTTTAAGGGTATTAGTGGTACAGGAGTTGTATTGTGAGCACCGAACTCACTCAACCTATTAAGTACAGTGCTCTTGGAGGTCCACAGACTCTTTATTGACTGGGCAAAGTGAACGAGGTAAAAAGTTTGCTTTCACATTGAGTGAATGAAGTGCATGAGTTTAGTACCATTACTCGGTCACTCATTATCTCAGATTCTGATCCAGAGAGCACTATGATCCGAAAAGAAGGTTTGAGGGAACAAAGAGAGTGAAAGCAGAAACAACTTTTCATAAGTAACTTGAGCCACTCACGATATGAGGTGGGAGGCAGTTTTCCTTCTGCTCCTCATAAACATATAAGGCGAAGAGGAAATGGCCAACACTGGATTGGATCCAGTTCTCCGGAGGAGAGTTTGCAAAGTTACGTTACAATGAATCAACAATTTGATTATTAACCGGAAGGAATTACTTGTTTTCTTCATTCAATAAAAGAGAAAACTTTCAAACATACAGTACCCATAAACGAAAAATATAAATTAAACTTGAGGTTGCAAAATTTAAATTTCTTTAGTCATGGTATAACATTGTAACATTTGGACCACCCAATAACATTATAGATCCATAGAGAAAAAAAGTCACAGCCACAAGGTACCTAATACATCCAGAACAAAGAACCCAACAAAATACCAAATATGATTAGTGCAATGACCTACTTTTTGGCAGTCTTCTTCTTTGAATTGGAAGTAGCAGGTGCAGGCTTCGGATGCTTTTCGGCTTCACTAGGATCCAACCACTTGAGAGGGTGGCGATTGAAGAAAGGCCAATTGGGTACAGTGATAAGAGTAGTCAAAACGACACCCCCTGCGTATATGAGAAGCATCAGCTGAAACTCGCCCAAGGCATAGCCAATAACGAACGCAATGACTGCAAAGGCCAACAGCATTATCTGCATCAGCTGCTCCGCTAGCTTTTGCCCTTGCCAATCCATCTACATGAGATGAGAGAGACATTATTAAATATAATATCCAAAAAAAATGAACTTCATCAGAAATTGGACATGGATCACAGAATCATGAATGTGAGTGATCAGAAACCCTAAAACCATCGAACCATCGATCAGAAACCCCAAAAACCATCGATCAGAAACACAATTACACAAACATACATATACGTACGAATAAATTAGAGAGACTAATATCTGGTACAGCAGCGATGATAAGAAAAGGAGTACCATTGATCGCCGTCAAAAAATTTACTCCAAATTAATTAATCGAGATTTACATAAATTCGTACAGAGACACTGAAATTCATGGATAATCCATCAATCGGAGCAGAGAGAGAGAGGCGTGACTCACCGATGAAGCCAAACAGTTTGCCAACGATGTCTGAATGGGAGAGGGTATGTGTGGAAGATACAGCTACTGGTATAGACTTATAGATTTATAGACAATATAAACCCAAAATGCATGTCAAACCCAGGTTTAGTCCTTATTCTTTGTTGGGTAAATTACTCTCACCCCCCTGCAGAATGACTAAATAACATAAATTTCCTGTATAATTTTAAAAATAACAATGACTTTCTCCGTCGATAGTGCCGAGAGTTTGAAATGATAATTATACATAAGACAGTCATAAAAACATCTTTAATATTTTAATTTTGGGTAAATAACAGGTCGGCTCAACCTTTAGGCATCCAATAGGAATGCCTCAAAATTTTAAAATTTTCTTATAGTTATACTATAATTATTCCTTAATATTGTTAAACTCTAATAAATATAAAAAATTTACATTAGGCTTCAAATATTTATATCCTAAAATAACTTCTTCTTTTTTTTTTGTCTCTTTCCCCTAGCTTCGATTTTACATTAGCCTTCAAATATTTATATTAAAAAATAACTTATTTTTTCTATTTCCTCTCTCTCCTCATTCATTTCAATTTTATATTAGGCTTTAAATATTTATATTCTAAAATAACTTCTTCTTTTTTCTCTCCTTCTTCGTTTCTTCGTCTGGTTGAACTCTAATTAATATATAAATTTAAACATCCTTATATGACTTTTTTCCCTCCCCTCTCCTACTCTCATTCACGTTTTACCATAAATCCTAACCAATATAGAAATTTAATATTAGCCCCAAAAAATTGTATCATTAAATATTTTTTTTCTCCCTTTCTTTCTCTCTCTCGTTCACATTTTTTATACCAGCACTAAAAATATTTTTGAGTAAGTTACACCAACAATAAAGTTGTTGTTTGGAAAAATGACTAAAACTTTTCATATATATATATATATATATTTTTATGTTTTATCTTTTTCTTTTCAACAAGTTTTCTCCTTTCACTCTCATTACAAGTTTACAGTTGTTATGAACGCATTTTTATTCTATTGAAAAATTTGTAGAAATATTAGATTTGGGTTTTTTAAATCAGGTTTAATGGTTTTTTTTCTTTAATTATTTTTTTAATTTTATTAACTTTTGTTTTTATAAATTTGGGTGTATATATATTTGTATATTTTGTTTTTTGAGTTGGGACTAATTTTATTTATATTATTAAAAAGATCACTTTTTATTTTTCGTCTAATGCTCTGTTCGGTAGGAAGGAAGAAAGAGGGGTGAAAAGAAAATAGGATGGAAGGAACAAAATTCATTTGTTCGGAAGGAAGGAGACACGGAGGGAAAGGATAATAGGAGGGATGTCTTATCCCTCCTCCTTTACAAATTTTCATCAGCTCAAATTTGAGCGGAAGACAGGAGAGAAAATAAGTGGAGCTATTATAAAACTATTAAATTACAATATTATCTTTTCCAAATATTAAAAATTAAACCCTACACATCTCATCTTACGCAAAAAAAAAAAAAAAAAAAAAAAAAAAAAAAAAAAAAAAACAAACAAACAAACAAACAAACAAACGTATCAAGTTATGATTCGTGTGTTTTATATATATATACACACACACACCTTTTCCTTTATCATATTTTTGTACCCCAGGTCATGTAATCCTTGTTTGGTCGAGATCTGGATCTTTTGTCTGTGTGTATATATATATATATATATCGATTGTTTGTTATATAATTTCCTTATTAGTAAAAAAGAGGATAGAAGAAAAAATACAGAGTCTACATAAAGAACCATACAATGCCATAACAGTTTTTTTAGAACATATTTAGAACGAAAAAAAAAAAAGAATCCTGTTCACACCTAGTTCGAAAAACAGTAGTTACTTCACTAGTATTGTCATATATTGTAAGACTACAACTAGTGGTGCAAATAATTTTAAGTGTTCAGATTTCATGTTGTAATGCAAGTTAAATACAATGCATATGGCTGAAAATAAGAATTTTAGTTTGACATGACTCTACTGGGATAATATTTATCAACAAAGTATGTAGATAGGGGGGTACATTTTTTTATATTATTATTATTCATGATGAAATATGATTATATATATAAAGCAAACAATAAATTAGAGTAAAATTAATGCTATCGTTTAAATGAGTAGTAAAGATGATGGCTATTTACCGGGGGAAAAAAATAATGAATGGTATAATGGTAAAAATAATTTAAAATTCCCTCTTCCCTTCTCTCGCAATGAACAAAGGAATTTGGTTAGTTCTTCTCTTCTTTTCCATCCAACCGAACAAAACAAGGATCTGAAAAAAGAGGATGAATTGAAACGGTATTTTGTAAATACATAATTATCTTGAATATGTTAACCATTTCTTTATTTTTCGATCGCATGGAAGGACAAAATCGAAGAAAGGCATGAGAGAAAAATATATTGGCTAAATCTAATCTCCCGTTATTCCTCAGTAGCTCAGTGGTAGAACCGTCGGCTGTTAACTGAGTTGTATGTTTAAATCCTACTTAGAGAAATTTGAATTATGAAATGAGTATTTATTCTTATGGAAATTGATCTTTTGTTTCTACCCAGACCGATAAAAAAAATGGGATCCCGTTCCTATCTTTGTTTCTTTTGCATTCTATCTCATTGTATCACATTCAAATTTGAATTTTCATCATGAACGGATTTTATAATATGGGAGGTCAATATTACTCTGACCATGTTAATAAGAAAAATTATTTATTATTTTTTGAAACTACAGGTGAGACATCATAATGTGAAACCCTTGTTATTAGGCATTCTACAGGAGAAGTTAATGTAATTTACCCTACTTTATTTATCAGTTTTAATGGACTACGATTTTATTTAACTCCAAATCTTTGATTTCAAATTTATTCATACGATTCATTACTATTTTCAGTGCATATAATGTACCATCTAATTAAAATTTTAAAGAATTGAGTATTATATTTATGGGGGTGTCAGGAGAAGGTAGTAGTAATCAGTCCTTGAAATGACACTGCCAGTGGGGAACACAAAGTATTGGTATTGAAGGAGCTTGGAGAATGGAGAATAATCAACTAACTTGAAGGCCTGGACTAGTAGTTGTGGTGGTAGGTAAGGTTCAATCAAGGATTACTCGATGAAAATTTTTGATGCCATAAAAATGCCTCCTCCAGCAATATTGAGATCTCTAATATTGAAATAACTATAATTATCACAGAAATTTTCAATATTTAAAATTTAGCTCTTATATTTTAAGTATTTAATTTTGAGTTTTATCAATCCACTATTTTTAATTAATCGAGAAAGTCTGTATCAAATTGGAACACTAGGCCCTGTTTGGTGACCTTTTTAGTTTTACTTTTAAAAACTCTTTTCATATTTCCTTCACAATTCTCAACTCTTACAAATGTGAGCTTTGGTTTTCAATTTTGGTTTTAAAATAATCTTATTTTATTTTTTTTCAAAATGAGAATTAGAAAAATATTATTTTATTATTTTTCACAATTAGAGAAATGTTAATTTATTATGAATTACTAAAATAAAATTGTTGCATCCCAAAATAATTTTGCTCAATTCTCGATTTTAATGATATTGTATGGTTCAAATTTAATAGCACTAAAAAATACAGTGCCAAATAATGAACTCAAAAAGATAAAAGAAAAAAAAATATTGTCCACCTTTCCTTTTTTGTTTATTCCAAAATAAGTGTCCCAGTTCAGAATTCATTACACTATATTTTTAATATTTCTAATTTATCCTCTTGTGTTGAAACAAATGTCTCGTCAAGAAAGTTGAACATTACACATTTTTTTTTGCTTTCCTTCTTAATCAAGTCTGTTTCCCTCAACAAAGCAAATCTATCTATTCTTCTCATCACAAACATAATGACACAAATGTTATAATTAGTTATTAAGCAATTATTTATCCACTAGAAAGTAAATTTGGGTCTTATTCATTACAAAATTCGAAACAGAATTGAATCCGAAATATCTCCTCAATCAGTAACCATCTCTCTTTTTTAATTGATGTGGAGTTAATCAAAACTTTTATTTGCTGATTTTCATTGAACAAAAAACTGCAAATATATATATATACAAAGAATTGTTAACTTGCTCCCGGGAAAGCAAAAAAGAAAAAAACAATTTATTTTACAAAAAGGATTGCCCGGTATTTCTAGTGGTTCAAATGGGCAAAATTCAGTAAACAAAATGGACATAAAACATAAATAACCAAACACAATGTCCGTCGAACGTGCGCACTGAGACATAGGAAAGCTTAAATGTGAACTTTAAATAGTGCACATTCAAGCTTAATCCCAAATGAACGTCAAAAGCCAAAGAATCGATTGGTCAATGGTTTAAACGATGAGAAAGTTACAAAAACAAAATAGCATCACATGCATAATTATATTTATCTGGGAATCCAATTACGTTGTTATCAAAAATTCCAAATAAGTTTTGATTAAACATTTAACTAAAAAATAGAATCTGGTAGTAACAATACAAAACATCCAAATGATTAAAACAAAGCTTGTCTTCAAAAAGAAATGACAAAAAAGTATCTCAAAACTTTCTTATATTGCTAGTAATATAATGTCACATTTAAGAAGAAGCACCACTCCGTAGAGCTTGGGACTTCCTGGATCTGCTGCTAGTTGCCAATTGAGACTCCGGCTGTTAAAAAGATAAAAAGAAAAAATATCAAATTTATACTTCTATACCTCTCAACACCAATCTTCTAATTATATGCTATAAAATTTGATACATCAATAAGATTGATTACCTCCTTTTTGACTGCTTCTTCCTTCTCAGACAAAATCAATTCAATATGGCATGGTGATGACATATAGGCTGGCCAAAATAGAGAATACATTCATGTTGATATTTGAAACATAAAAATGCACAAACAATGTAAAAGCAAGAAATCAAACATACGGTTTATTCTTCCATGGGCACGGTATGTGCGGCGCCTCTGTTTTTGTGCTTGGTTCACCTGAATGTGCGATATGTAAAGAGAATCCACATCTAAACCTTTCACCTAGAGATTGATTAAGTTAGTAAAGAAAAGTTGAAGGCTAGTATTACTGGGCATCGATTAGTAATGAGAAATTTAAGGTCACAAACACTAGGCATGCACAGAGGAGTCGGTACCTCAGCATTACTCTCGGCATTCTTTAGTAAATCCAATATAAATTTTGCAGATTTGACAGGCCAACGACCTTGTCCATTGGAATGCCTATTCTTGGCCTGAGCAGTTCGACCAACACCCCTACAAAAGCGTGTGAATGGTATGGCCTGCTTGTGGGCCAGAACATCCTCCAAGTACCTCTTAGCCTTGGTCAAAGGCAACTTCCTGACAGCATGCGCGGTCTCCCTTGTGTTCTATTAAGTAAATATAACACACTGTTAGTTATCGATTAAAAATTAGAACATGTATATGGATGCAAAGATAATTGAACTATGGATGGCAAAGAAAGAAAAATCCTGAGTTATCTCAAGTGAACCACAAAGACCCAAATTTTGAACAAGAACCTACACAAAGAACTACCACAGGAAAAGAGTACTTCTAGCACCACAGGCATAAACCCAAAATATGGAGTTCCAGCAACTACTCTTGAAAAAATGTGGTCTCTAAATCAAAAAAAATATATGTAGAGTTTCAATTTTTAACATCTAAGAATCCAAATAATCCAATAATTTCAAACTGATTTAAGAAAATGACAACACGCATCAATTATTGAACCACTCTATAAAGTTCCGTCCATTAATAGTGTATATTTTTAAGAAAAGAGATTGTTCAATAGACAAAGGCCTTCATTTGATTACGATAGAACACTGCAGTTCCAGTATTTGCATCTAAAAGAGAAGAATTGAGAAAGAATAATCCAAAATAATCCATTTAGCAGGTGTAAATGGCAATGTTCCATCATTTACTGAACCTACAGTCATTTGAACAGATTCAGAGGTTCACCCAATAACAATGGCAATGATTTTCCTGAAGTTTACAAGAGTCCAGCTCACAAAAGGCAGCAAGACACTGCTTTTTTCATCAGGTTATGCGATCACAAAGTAACAAATTACAAAATTCCTATCACATTTACCCCAATTAAAAATAAAAAAAAAAATCCACGACAAAAGTGGATCATTTGATTCATTTATACCAAATTTCTAGTAGAAAAGCCTACAGAATTCTACTAGAAAACCCGATTAAAAAAAGGAAAGAAGAGAAGTTTACATGACAAAAGTTTAGCGATTGATTCATATATTCCAATTTTCTAGTAGAACAACCTACTAAATTCTACTAGACAATAGACTATGAAATTATAGAGAAGGGAGCTCCAACAATAATTTTAAAACATCAATTAATTTAATGAGATCAGGACAATGTTTCATCCAATTATTTCGAACTGAATTAAGCAAAAGACAGAAACCACATCAAATATTGAACCACTCTTCAAAGGTGCAACCTAAATAGTTTCAACCGTTAATGTTACGATATTTTTGAGTGCACGAGAATGTTCAATTGACAAAGGACCTCATTTGAATCTAAAAGAAAGACCTTAGAATGACAATCCCAAAAAAATACATTTAGTAGGTGTAAAAGAGAAAATGTTCCATCATTTACTGAACCTTCAGTCACTAAAACAGATTCAGAGGTTCACCCAATAACAATGGAAATGATATTCCTGAAGTTTACGAGAATCCAGCTCACAAAGGCACAGCAAGACACTGCTTTTTTCATCAGGTTATTCAATAACAAAAAATAAATAATTTTTTTTTATAAAAATCCTTCTACATTTAACCAGAACTAAAAAAGAAGTTTACATATGACAAGCGTGCAGCATCTGATTCAACTCCTCCAAATTTCTAGTAGATAAGCCTACAGAAAAGAGAACTAATACCGACACTGAACTATGAATACTCACATAAAGGAGATGCAACTTTAGAGCACCTCCAACAATAATTTTAATTTAATGAGATCAGTATCATGTTTCATCAAATAATTTCAAACAGAAATAAGCAATAACAGAAGACACATCATTCATTAAACAATTTGAACTACTCTTCAAAGCCACAACCTAAAGAGTGCCATCCAATATTGTTCAAGAGCAAGTGATACTGTTTAATAGACAAAGAGACTCATTTGATTACTACAGGACACTGTTCCACCACTCACATCTAAAAGAAAAGAACTTAGAAACAGTATACAAAAAATAAATCCATTTAGCAGAGGTGTAATTGACAATGTTCCATCATTTACTGAACCTTCAGTCACATAAACAGATTCAGAGGTTCACCCAATAACAATGGCAATGATTTTCCTGAAGTTTACGAGAGTCCAGCTCACAAAGGCAACAAGACACTGCTTTTTTCAACAGGTTATTCAATTACAAAGAAACAAATTATAAAATCCGTTCTACATTTGACCCAAATTAAAAAAGGACAAGTTTAAATTGCCAAAGTTCAGCATCTCATTTATGGATCACAAATTTCAAAGGATATTAAATTCTACTAAACACTAGACTATGAAGACTTGGAGAGAAAATGCAACTTTAGAACAGCTCCAACAATAATTTTAGGGCATCTATTAATTTAATAGATCAGAATCATGTCTCATCCAATAATTTCAAACTGATTTAAGTAAATAACAGAAGACAGGTCATTTATTAAACAATTTGAACCACTCTTCAAAGCCAGAACCTAAAGGACACTGTTGCTCCAGTACTCACATCAAAAAGAAAAGACTTGAGAAAGCCTGTCCCAAAAAATTCTTTTCAGCAGAGGTTTAAATGGCAATATTCCATCATTTACCCTTCAGTTACCAAAACAGATTAAGAGGTTCACCCAATAACAATGGAAATGATTTTCTTGAAGTCTACAAGAGTAGAGCCACAAAGGAAGCAATACACTGCCTTTTTTGTCAGGTCATTCGCTCACAAAAAAATATATATATATAAAAAGAAGTTAACATGACAAACGTTCGGCATCTAATTCATCTATCCCAAATTTCTAGCAGAAAGTCTACTGAATTCAGCTAGACACTGGACTAGGAATATACTCTTGGGGAGGAGAGGAGCAGCTCCAACAATAATTTTAGAGCATCTGTTAAATGAATGATATCAATATAATGTTCCATCGTTTACTGAACCTTCCTTCACAAATCACTCCAGAGGTTCACCCAATAACAATGCAATTTCATTTCCCTGAAGTTTACGAGAGACCAGTCCACAATAGGCAACAGATCCCTGCTTTTTTCATCAGGTCAACCAACAAAAATTGCTAGATTTCACAACATGACCTAGTTTATAAAGAAAAGTAACATATGAACCGTACGCAACCATAAATAGTGTGTCCATCACAAATTTACAATCAGCAACTACCAATTCACATTTCAATAAAAGGCCCAGATAACCATATCCAAACTATGGCGTACCACTAGCTATCTATCCAAAATCAATAATACAAGAGGAACAGAAAAATCAAGACAAGAAGTATATCATAATTATTGAAAATATTTGAACTTGAGTACCATCCTAAAATCCAAAACCTAATAATATATTGCATTTCCTACAACATATTCCTAAGAAAAAATACAAATAATAATACCTTGAAATGAACTCTGAGATCAGATCCTCTAGCCTTGCAGGCTGCAATACAAAAGACAGAGAGAAAATGAATACAATTACGATGAAACGTCGCAACAGATAACGATATACTCTACTGAAATGGATCAGATCAAAGAGACCAGAAATTAACTGCAACAAAGCAGGGGATATAATAAATTGAAGAGCTTGAAGCAGAGAAGCACTCACACTTGGTGGGATTGCTCGGCTCTTTTGAGTACTTCACCTGAAAGAACAAGAGAAAAGCATCAAGACTGTTCAATGAATATGGTTATACATATACACGCCCATATGTTATACATATATAGATAACAGAGAAGAAAGAAGATGGATGAATTTAGAGAGAGAGAGAGTACAAACCATGGTTCCGTCTGCTTTATCAGAAGAGCTGGAGGCTATGCATTAGGGCTTCGTTTTATTTTATAGGAAAACGAAACCCTAATTCCTGAGCAGTAGTTGAGTCATTTGGCTGGGCTATAGAAGGCCCATATGAGGTTATTATTATTATTTTTTTTAACTTCTTTTTAAAATTTTGGGATTATCCCAGTAGAGTAGTTGGGTCATTTGGGCTGGGTTTTATTATTTTTTAGTTCTTTTTAAAGTAGTAGTAGTTGGGTTATTTAGGCTGGGCTATAAGCCCACATGATAGTGGTATTTTCTTTTTTCCCCCAACTTCAACACCAGACTTTTTTATTTTGAAACTAGACCTTTTTATTTTGAAAGGTGAAAAAGTATTAATGGAGTACCAAATACTATACCTTCATTTGACAAAATTATAAATGACATCTTACATCAATAAAGTATGTATGCTCAAGCATTAAAAAATTTAATAATAATTTCAAAATAATATCCCATGCATCATGTTATAATTTTCTTATACGATAAGTTGTCTACAATTAGTATCATTAAGTCGCCAAATGACGAAATTATTGTTTTTGTTATTATTATCCAAAACCAGGAGTTGGGGTTTACAACTTCACGTGCTGAGTTATGCGGCTTGTGCCTTAAAACATACCATAGACTCTTCTTGTGCAAAGCTAAATTATGAAAACGATAAGTGAGAAGACAAAAGAAAAAATCCGCTTATGTGGTTCAATTGTGAACAAATTTTGGCTTGTAATGTGAAAAAAAATTGTGAACAAATTTTGGCTCGTAATATGAAAAAAAAAAAAAAAAAAATTCCCTTTTTTTGTTTTTTCTCTAAATTTCTCAAAATCACCGAGACAAAAGAACTTCTAAATAAATTGGTTGGGTGTGTTATTGGCCAAGACAAAAGAAGTTAAATTAAAAGTCAATATACAAATTAACTTGGACTAGTTTGCGACCGATTTTTTTTTTTCTCCCTCTCTTTCACTGCCAAATCAATTAAAACTAAAAATAAGTGGTGAAAGTAAGCTGGGTAAAATTTCTCTCTCCGGGGTTTTACCCATAGTCGGCAGAACGCCCAGCTCTCCAAACGAATGTGCTACTATTTTGAATCCCCCTTCCTCCTAATTTGCTAGGATAAATAAATACACACACATTATATTATCCTTAGACTTCTCTCCAAAGTTGGGAGGATGATGCATCTTTTTTCCATTTTTTATTAAATCATTTACTTCTGAAGTTTTCTTAATATATCTAATGAAAGACAATGCAATCCAATGGTAAACTCTCAAATCATTTTTTTTTTTTTTTTTTTTTTTTTTTTTTTTTTTTTTTAAAGTAGACAATCCGGGGCATCCACCAAAAAAGAAACAGAAGATAAAATATTAAATGTTTTTAAACACGTTTTTCGAGCTTATCATTGTCGCGTGTTGTTGAATGAGGTTTAAGACATTCGTATCAATTTTACTAAATTGGAGGATCTACATACATAAACTGTTTGTAGAGCAAATTATAAGCCACCTAGTGAATTTTTAATGGTTACAATCCGGAAAACCTGTATCGAACTAAAATAAATAGCTGGACATAAAACTTGAATACGCGGTGACATCTGCCCACTTTGGGAAAAGACCTTTCAACTTCTTTGCTGATTCTGTTAGATCTTGGTCTATTACAGCAACATCAATCCTTAAAGCTTCAGAACTGCTTGCCTGCAATTTCAACACACAAAATTGAGCATGCTTGGGAAAAAGTTCAGCTAAAGGGATTCAACTCAGACATACTCCACATGGACCATCTCCCAACAACATCAATGATCAATCATCTTTTATGTATAGATAAAATCGGTGTTGCACATACACGGTGAGAAGTTTGGGAGCGTCCAGAGATGACATTGAGTAAGGTCATCTTACCCATTATGGACCCTAATGATCGAGGGTGAAAAACGAGAGAGAACTAGCAGAGAATAGAATATACAAAACAAAGCCACCTAAACGGAAAACCCCTCTCTAGTGGACCATAACTCTCATCTCCAACCCCTTTTTCTCTCTGAAGATTTTTGCTTTCTCTCTCTCATAGCAAGAAGTTGTACAACCAGAAAAATCAAGATAGTTGAATATCTGAATTATACCAAAATTATAAAAACTATCTAATCATCCTAGAATTAGTTCAATACATATCCAGAATTAAAATAATTCTCTGCCATCCACAATTGTAGGTAAAGTACGCATTGAAGCACGTTACCATTGCCTTGGACTCTATTGGAACAAAGCATAAGGAGGATGCAAAATGGAGAAAGGAAAGCAACTCTTTTACCATTTCCTGTTAATAAAAAAAATTTATGGACTCACCAATGCCAAACGAAAAAGGTTGCACTTAATGAAGCACGCGGTTAAAAATTCAGATCATGCGTACACAACCAAAATGGCCTCCATTAACAACTCGCGTTTATCTTTAAATAGGGTAACATACATTATGAATATGATTTTTTTACCGAGTTGAGACTGGCACACCCACTTTGCCCCTATGAGAACTTGAACCCTCGACCTTCTACTTTAGAAGTTGAGGAAGTATCCCTGGTGGTGAATATGAATATTTTAAGATATGTGGAATATAATTTATGTATCCAACCCAAATTGTTTGAGAAAGGCTTTGTTTAGTCAAGTAACAGACCACATAGCTCCAAAACAGAATTGGATCTAGTGATGTACCTTAAAAAGAGGAAGGGTAATTTGCATAGAGGGTAGGAGGCGGAGAGGGCACACGAAATTAATATGGGATGACGTCACTAGAAATGATTTTGAAAAGTTAAATATTAGAGGTGAGATGGTTTTTAATAAAATAGAATGGAAAAGGAGAATTCATGTGGCTGACCCCATTCATATGGGATTAAGGCAACAATGATAATGATATTGATGATGAAATGCTTTAAAAAGACAAAGTAATATTGTGGATGCAACAGACTATGAAACACAGTAAGCTTTACCTCCAACCAGAAGGTCCAGTTCTCAAGGCCGACTCCACTAAGTCTACATATGTATGATGGTGGACCGCCATCCAACAATTCAGGAGCTGTACACAATTTCACAAAAATAAATATACAGTGAAAAGAAGTACTTTAAAACCTCATCCAAGCAAACAAGACAATATAAATCACCTGCAAGTATATTGTTCGCAAGTGACCAACTAGATAGTGGACCGGTGATATTAAGGACAGCAACCCAAACCTCTTTTAAGGAACTGAAAAAAGGAAAAATACAGAATGATATTTGGTAAAAAGAGTACAGAATGCTAGACTTAGTAATGAAGTTTGCAAGTACATCATATAAAGACCTCTTCTGTACATGTAATTTCACTTCCTCACAATTCAAAAAAAAAATAAAAGAAGGGTCAGTTGAACACTTCTCCATGCCACATCAGATGAAAGTACACTAATCCGACCCTATTTGCTATCATTCTAGGAAGAAAACTGGTTTTCAAACCATAGTATCATTTCTTGTGCTTCAATAAAAAGAAAAAGAAATAGTGAATTCCCAGTGTATGTCCCGCTTACTGGAGCTGCTAGGAGAGAAGACTGGTAACCTAACCTTCAGCATAATCTTGCACAAAGTGGTGACTCAGAGAATTCAACCCCTTCCTCACACTTGTCAATCTGAACTTTAAAATTGCACCAAGCAATTTTTTACTTAATAAAAATAAAAAAAATAAAAAAATAAAAAATTGCAGCAAGCAATAGCAATGCATCTGACAGCAGTATCCTAGACATTTTTTTTTTCCTTTTCCATTCTGCTTACTTATCCCAGTTTTCCCAAGCACACATTTGGGACACATACCAATATGTCTGAATGCACCATCTGATTTCCAGTTATCACATAACTACAAGGTTACCTTTGCATAAACAAAATCTATACAGAAGTGAAACAAGAATACAAAATTTTGAGCAGCATCAAGTTGTGAAGCTAAGTAAATTAGGATGAACTTTTCACTTACGCATGAAAGAAATTATTGTTAGAAATGTTGCATACAATTCATACATGCATATTTATGACTTAAGTTATGGAGTATGAACATGTCCTAAATTTTGGAGTATCAACATATCCAGGCATCTCAATGGCAACACTGAAAAAGAGTAAATAGTGAAACATGTAACAACACAGCTTATAGAACTCACCCTAAGTAAAATTCCAAGTGAACTCTCCGAGAACCCCCATTAGAAATCGTTGGTGGCTTATAAGTTGACAAATAGGGGAAATATCTATGCTGCTTCAAGATTTCATCACTTTTTGCAGGGAATGTCAAGCTGCTTGAAAACAGAAAAGACACAGGAAAAAGTGCCTGCAAAAAGAAGCAGACACTACTTTCATATTTCATGCAAGACATCAAAGAATTTGAAACTAATTCAGATTGAGCAATATAAGAAGAAATGATTTCTTCAAAGTTTTTTTTTTTCCTAAATATTTCTTCAAAGTTCGAATCAAAGTAATTTCCTGACGGTGAGCAAGATAATTCATCTCCTATCCTATAAATCACAGATAGAGAGAGAGAGAGCAAGTGAGCAAGAGAGACTCTAAAACTGCAGTTCTCGGGATCCAAAACCTAAGTTTAGTCACAGACTATAAGATTATATTAATTCAAAGAAAAGTACCAACAGAAGATAGAAGGATAGAGATATAAAGAGAGTTGATTGTTGCAGGTCACCAAACCAATGTAGTCAAGCTCTGTCCAATTGTTTAGGGTCATCTTGGTCATCAAATTATTATCCAACGAGATTTGAGAAATTTCTGCAACAAGCTCAGTTGCAGAACACCAAGTCAATCAGTCAGTGATTTTTAAAATGACAATTATCTATTAAATACAAACACATATCATGCATACTCAGATTTAGACCAGGAAGCACATACATGCTTAAAAGGTCGTTGTATCAGTGTCCACCACATATCAAACACAGAAACACGTCACACATAAATAAATAAAAATGTGCCTAGAATTTTTATTTTTTGTTTTTTTAACAAAAAAATAGAAAAGGAGATATGTAGGGAACACACATCAAGCATGCACGGACATTTGTCAGACAGCACGTGAAGTATAAAATGTGGGGTTGTTTCTAGAAAATTCCAAGAACATAGGGGTCAAAAATATAAAATATTAGGTTTAAAAGAAAGAGGCAAGTATAAGGCTGTGTTGTTTGACCATTCAATAGAAAAATCAGATTTATTATCTGCCATATCCATATCTTACATTTTTAGGGTATGTTGTGCCAGCTAGTGTCATATCGTGCATGTCCCATATCCATATCCGCAAAGAAAAAAAGATTATAAAATAAAATAACGACACTCAGTTTAGTGCTTCTTTTAACAGACAAAGTCAATATAATTCCTTACTAAGGCATAAAGTATAAACAAATCATCCAAAATGATGATTTGGCAGAATATTGGCATAAATTTTTTTTTTTCTTAGTTGGTACTCACACACCCATGCCTCCACTGAGGCTTGAACCCCTGACCTCCCTTTGAGAAGTAGGGGCTAGGTACCACGGGCTACTGGCCCGTTGGTTATTGGCATAAATTTAGAAATCACATACCATCCAGTTCTCCCGATGAAACTGACTAAAGATTTTGAAGGACGATTCTGAACCAATGTGCAGTTCCTTGGTCACTTCAGGTGCATATTTGAAGAGAAAAGGTAAGTAATTGGAGTCAACGACAGTAAAATCATAACTGGAGTCCATAATGTGATCTACATCTGTCAATCACAGAAGTAAAAAAAACTCTTTTAGAAGATACCATAATGAGAAATTTAGTAGTACATCCAAAGTCCAGAATTAGAACATAAGAGAAAAGTCCTGAACTGTAACATGCACATGCACATAATAGCAACTAAATATCTTCTTCAAAACTTAAGGAACACTGAGAGGCAGCAGCAAAGATGATTATGATTAGGATAAAATACCATCTTTCCTTTGCATAGAAAAACATCAAAAACCACATATTATTGAGTTTGTAATGAATCAAAATTAAAAACGATAATGGTCATTAACGGCCTAAAGTTCCCAACTTCTATAAATTAAAGTCTCTCTGCACTTTATCCCAGTAGGATGTTAAGTAATCATCATGTGCAATGCGTGTATGTGCTTGCTCAAATTACAAAGCTTAGCAAAGAAAAGAGAATAAACTCTACCAACAAGCCAGTGTCCTAGCGGTACCAGACCCCTACTTCCCAAAGGGAAGTCAGGAGTTCAAGCCTCAATGGAGGCATATGTGTGTGAGTACCAACTGAGAAAAAAAGAGAATCAACTCTCGTATGTCTGTAGAAACTTCGCAAGTTTAATCAGGGAGAATATTAATATCTCAGATAGAGAAAACAATTTTTTTCAAGTCATATTTAATGGCATAAACTCAGAATCCCAGGTCAAGAAAAGGCCCCAACTTCATATTTTTTAGCATATTTGATTCAATCACAAGATCACCACAGCGAGGGGAAATGTGTTTGCCTTTTATAGCCATTTATTATTTTGAAACTAGCAGGAGGACTGCTCATCTATTTTACAAATGTCATTCCCCTGTTTATATCAACACCATGAGGAAATTCGTTGTGCGTCTTATCTGGCGGGTTGACGTATAAATCTGCAGAAAAATAAGTAACTTCTGCCTATGTATGAGACACACAATAAGACCAACAAGAAGACCACAAAATTCAATGCAACAATTATCGGTCAAAGGTCAAAATCGAGAAAGGGATTTTTTGGAGGGTAGAGAATACTAAACCCGGCAGAAAGAGATTAAGCTTTGTTAACAACCAAATACTCCAAAAACTTAAGCTATTAGAGAGGGTGTAACTTAAATATTTAAATCCTTCAACACGCCCAATCACGTGTTTTAACTTTTAAATCAGGGTGACAGTGAGGTTTGAACACATGACCTACCATTCTCTGATACCATGTTTTTTTTTTTTTTTGATAAATAAAAAATTTTATAAAAAAACACTCCAAGGGGGAGCGGAACCCAAGAACGATACAAAAAGCCACTCAATCCTTCAAAGAGGATTCTCTGATACCATGTTAACAACCATCTACTCCAAAAGCTTAAGTTATTAGAGAAGGTGTAACTTAAATATTTCAATCCTTCAACAATCTTGTTCATTATTCAATGCTTAAAGTAGAGTGGCAACTAGGGCGGGCTGGATGTACAACTTGACCCAACCCGACATGTGAATTGTTCAACCCTAACACAACCTTAACCCGAGCTCTAACCCTAGTTACTCAACCCAAGCCCAACCCATCCTTGAATTTTTAAAATCGGGTTTGCAACTCGGGTTGAGATTTCCGGTTAGAAAGTCGGGTTAATTCAGGTTATCCACATGGCCAATCTCCACATTGAACATTTAAAGTGATCTTTGGTTAGCTTTAGATAAGATTTCTCCTAAGCACAAGAATAATAATAATAAAAAGAACTAACTTAAAGCAAATTTTTAGGAAATTAATTCTCCAAAATATTAACATACAATATATTAAAATTTAAGCAAAGGAAGTTGAAAAGAAAAAGGTACTCAGAATTTGAATATTATATATAATATATTTAAAATAAAAAAAATATGTATAAAAATAATATTAGAATTCGGTTTCGGGTTGGGCTCGGTTTGTTGGCACCTCAACCCAAACCGAACCCTAATTAAGTTCGGCTTGAGATTTTTCAACTCAAGCCTAACCCTAATTTTAAGTAAAAATAATTGCCCAAGCCCCTAAAAAGATCGGTCTGGGCTAAGTTGGGTTTGGGCTCGGGTTCAAGTTGGCCCGCCCAAGTTGCACCCCTACTTTAAAAAGGTTAAGCTATCATCTTGATAGCGAAATAATAGTGACAATTAGGCCACAACATATAAAATAAGGATTTTCAATAGGAATACAATTTTATAAAATCAAATCAGAGTTGTCATTATAAGCTTGCCCCACACCAAATAACAATTTACAATTCAAAGGGCCAAGTGGTGAAACAAAATCAATGTACTGTAACACAGAAACAGGCCACCAACAATCGTATACAAAAAGATCTCAAGTATTTGAACTGTTATTTCTTCAATACCTGCAGTCAATATTGTATGCTGAAAAACAACCCTTTTAGGTGCATCCTTGCTGTATGGAAAGAATTGCGATGACAAGGCCAAGGCAAGCACACCAAGATGCAACAAAAATTGCATTACAGATGATCTGGCTAACCAATGGCCAAGAACAGGTACAAGAGGTCCCACAGACCAACCAGTTACAGCTCCAATAATTGCTGCCACTATAACGTCAGGAATGAAAAAACCTGAAAGTAAAGGTTTAATTTTGACATCACATTTTAAACAATATGTATATAAATCTTTAAAAGCTGAAGTACTAACTAAACTTACTGCCTGCTTCCATGTTTTCATCATAACCTTCTTATAGATGACAACTTTTAGGAATCAAAAGTCTCAGATTAATAAATAGATGTTCCCCAGAAAACAGCTTCATCAGTTGTATTGGGAGAAAACTAATGATCATCAGTTGTTGTCTACTTAGCCAACACCCACAATACATGCGCTAAATATGACAGAGTTGCAATTTTCAAGAAAAGTATAAACACCATTTTAATTTATTTACAGCTACATAGCTGTCCAAGTGCATAATCACTTTTGTAAATGGTTCAGCGTAAGTCAAGGTAGCAAATATAAAATGGAAAGCGGGAAATTTGATTATGCGGATTGCAGATTCCTTTTCTTTTTCTTTTTTTTTTCTTTCTTTCTTTCTTTCTTCCCCCCATCCCCCCTCTTTCCCACTTTTCGGTAAGTTAAGATTCCAGAATATGGAGATTCCAGAATATGGTCAACCTTGTTGAATGTAAATGTAATAAATTTAAAATTACAATTTTATAGTTCTTTTCCTTGTAGGCGCTGCTGAGGCCGAAGCTGAAAACTGAATTTGAACGAGTTTGAGCCAACCAAAATACTAGTCTAGCACAATAATCCGCCATTACAAAATTCGGAGAATTTAAGCATCAAGAAAACAACTGATAATCACTGAAGTAAAAATATCATCAAATTTTAATAGCTCTATAAGATTAAAAAGACTAACCATAAGGAGGTGGAAGAGAACCCATCATGCCCATTTTCTCAATGAAGAATTGGATAAACAACCCACCAAAATAGACAGAGTATGCAATGCTTGGTACTAGAGGTATTACATAACATGCTGCTGACCTGAAAGAGAAAAAATTTAATTAGACTTCAACACTTAAAACAAGTTATTGAACACTAAGATTGTCTTTGAGAACAATAATGGCTTTATTTTCATCAAGAAAATAAACTGGAATCTCTTTATTTCCATTAAGGGGAAAAAATCTCTCTATTTTGAGACAACTAACAGCCAGCAACATCATACAGTCGGAGTTTTGAAATGATAGATCCTAGTATTTACATACGCCACAGAAATAAACATAAAATAACAGAACCGTCTCCAATTGCTACCTTAGTGATTGACGACCGAAGCACTTAATTGATAGCCAGTAGGAAATCCATGCAGGAAGCATAAAAACTGACAAGGAAAAAGTCAAGAAACCTCCACTCAGACCAGCTAGAAGATACGCCTGCTTTCATAAAGTTGTTTTAGCTATTTCTTATTTTTTTAATAAATAACAAATTAGGTTTCACAAAACCCATAAAAGAAAAGAACTCATGTGTGAGGTAAATAAAAATAAATTATAATGGTATCAAAGTACGCACCAAACTCACAAGAGCATAAAACCCAAATGCTCCCCAAAACCTTGCTTCATCAGCTAGTGCCTGCAAGATTCATTTGTCAAACCAGAATATCAATAACCGGGAATAGTAAGAATGCGACCCAAAGACGTGTTTAACTAACTCCCAGAAAGGTATGATTTTACCAGTTCAAATTAAAATTAGACAACAAATAGGTCCATTAAAGAGCTCCATCACCATGATGTCTGAAATCCATGAATGTGAAATATATACTGTAAATTTCTTAATTTCTGTTTATGCCAAGTAGAATACTCAAAAGTTCAAAACTCTATAAGGACCACATGATTACTCAATTTGGCTACAAAACAGATAAAATCACAACAAAGATGGGGAATATATTCAATAATGAAATGAATTTTCCAATGCTTATCGCGTGGCTAACTATTACAGTTAAGCTTTTCTAAGCACATTGAACAATTCAAAGGGCGTCGATATGATCTTATATATCTTATAATATCCTAAAACTCTTGAGTGATTGTTAAGAATGGGCTCATTAGAGAAACGAGCATTAGCTTTGGCTCAAGCTCAGCTATTCACTTTTGAAATGGACTTAAGCAACCTTACTAGCAACTTGGTTAGCTGAAGAGCTCAGCTTCATTTGACACCCTAATCTTATACTGGATAACAGTGGAATCAAGTTCAAGGTCACAATGCCACTGGTACAACTAATTGTGAGGTGTATCCTACATATTTTTTAGGATTTCTGGGCATCAAAAGTGAACAACTAAAAAGAGTGATGGTAGAAGCTTGATCTGTCAAGCGTGGGAATGCCTGTTAAAATCTGAGGGTAGATAACTCAAGCAAATAAAGTGGAGGAATAGGTTACCTAACCAGAACTGCTTGCATCAACCTGGACAGGTTGAACAGATAAAGGCCTTTTCCTACCATGGGCATTAAAAAGTAAACTATTGAAGATTTAATGGAGGAATCAGTGAAGGAAAATCTTTCAGTAATTGATGTTGTTTCCTATTATTGAAGATTTGGTGTTACTAGAGGAATCAGTGGAGAAAAATCCTCCTTAGTTCCTATTTTCTAATTTTTTTCATTCTCATAATTTCTTCTCCTATATAAAGGAGCCTCCACCATTGTATTATATATGAATTGAGAGAGTATTATAAAAGTGATGTAGCCCTTTGGGTTCTGTGCCGTGGATATAGGCCCTAGTGACTGAACCACATAATATCTGTGAGTTCTACTTGTTTTATTTATCTCTTCGCTTCCATTTTATGCTTTACAACATGCTCTCAAAGTCTAATTTCTCTTTCTAGATTCGGACCCCTAATTTGGGGTATTCCCTTAGCATCTGAAATGTTGCTAAGGGTTTCTCGGTGCTATTTGTGACTTGTTTGGGCTGACGGTTTGTTCAGCAGTAATGTTCTTCATCTTTGTCATGTCTCCAACAGTTTTTATCAACTTGTTTGGGCCGCTGATGTGTTCGATAGCATTGTCCTCGCCTTTGCCATATCTACAGCAGTTTTTTATTGACTTGTTTTGGTTGCCGGTGTGTTCGATAGCATTGTCTTCGTCTTTGTCGTGTCTCTTGCTATTTTTATCGACTTGTTTGGGCTACCGGTGTGTTCGGTAGCATTGTCATCGCCTTTGCCGTATCTCCGGCAATTTTTTGTTGGCTTTATTGGGTTGTCAGTGTGTTCATTAGCATTGTTCTTCGTCTTCTCTCTCTTCATCATTCACAGAGTTGTTGTTACCCGTCATCTCAATGGCAAGTTGGGCATTCATGCTCCAACTTGGGGGGGAGTATTGAAAATTTAATGGAGGAATCAGTAGAGGAAAATCTTCAATAATTGATGTTGTTTCCTATTATTGAATATTTAGTATTACTAAAGGAATCAATGGAGAAAAATCCTCCTTATTTCCTATTTTCTAATTCTTTCCATTATCATAATTTCTTCTCCTATATAAAAGAGCTTCCACCATTGTATTGTATATGAATTGAGAGAGTATTATAAAAGTGATGTAGCCCTTTGGGCTCTTTGTGCCGTGGATGTAGGCCCTAGTGGCTGAACCACATAATATATGTGTGTTCTACTTGTTTTATTTATCTCTTTGCTTCCGTTATCCTCCTTGTTTCCTATTTTCTAATTCTTTCCAGTCTCATAATTTCTTCTCCTATATAAAGAAACCTCCACCATTTTGTTGTATATGAATTGAGAGAGTATTATAAAAGAGATGTAGCCCTTTAGGCTCTTTGTGCTGTGGATGTAGGCTCTAGTGGCTGAACCATGTAATATATGTGTGTTCTACTTGTTTTATTTATCTCTTCGCTTCCGTTTTAAGCTTTACAACATAAATGATTACACATTACCATATCAAAGACATGCATGTTAGCTCATCTTTTAGATGAAAGAAGTTGATCCATCAGATGTTGTACAGAGTTGCTATTTATTATTATTATTATTATTATTATTATTATTATTTTGTGGCCACGACCCTAAATTCCCTAGTCCCAAAACTAAGATCTGATGTGAACTATATCATTCCATAAAAAATTGGAATGTATTCCATGATTTAATAAGGTTTGCACAAAAGGTGTACCTCCGTTGATGTTTTACGAGTAGAAACATCTTGAGAACGAGGAAAGGATCTCCAAAAAGTTCTTGGAATCAACAGACCAACAATTGAAAAAGGTATGAACATCATGAACGCCAAGTAGGGATGAGCAAACCTGTGTTATGCCAAGCAGGTCATCAAACTCCAAGCAAATTTCCAAGTAATAGCATTGTACACTAGAAAACATTAGCTGAAGCTTGTAAACTTATAAACTTCATGGCAAATTTCAACTTGATTGTGGAACTAATTTACAGTTGATTGACTTTAAAAATAATACGGTAATACCTCATTTGGAACTTCGACTCTAAAAGAAGAGTAATGTTGAATCTACCATCCAACCATAGTTATGGGTACATATCCTGCAGGATACATTCTGAAACCTAGTCTAATTTTATCTCCACCCACCAACCTGGTAGGTGTTGATTTTGCCTGGAAGATGAAAAGGAGAGAGAGAGAGAGAGAGAGAGGGAAAAAAATTATTTAATAAAGCAATACTTTATTGAGTCCAATCTGAGTTTCTGCTTCTTCTTTTTCTCTCTTTTTTCTTTCTTTAAATTTAAGGAAACTACTATAGGCACCAAGGATATGCAACTTACGTAAACACAGTAAATATAACGAACCACAAATATAAAACACAAGCCTACATGATAAACTTTAAACCAGAACACACAACTAGGGGACCAAGACCAACAGAAACAGAACTCCCTGAGAATTGGAGACTGCTATACCCCCCCTCCCTAGTCCCTACCTTGAATTCCTCAACTTAGCCTCACAACCACTAAAGAGAGGAAGTCTCAGTGAAACAACCACCTCAGTAGATGAATGATTGTGTGAAGTATATTTACTTGCGAATTGAGATGCAAGTTCTCCATTCCATTAGAAGAGAGGTTTACTTTCTCAGTTCAAACAAATCCACCCATTGACAAATTCCCAAGCTTAATTGAGTATATCAGTGTATTTGTTGATAATCACCCCTCCCTGTTATCAAACTTCTTTTGGTATTTTGTTTGAATTAACTTAATCCTACCTAAATGCCCCTATCTGTGCCACAATAATAGAAAATTATGTTGGAATCAAGACAAACAGGTACTAATTATGTCTTCTTTACTGTTTTTTTAAATAAAGATCCACACATGTTTCTAATTCTTTTTTCTGTCATTTTTGCTTTCAATGACAATCCTACCAAAGATATAATTTTACTTAATTTTGACATAAATTATTCACCAAAAACAAATAAAAGGAAAAAAATATCATTACTCACTACTCCTCATGGTCGTGGATCATGCACAAAGAAAAAGTCATCTAACAATTACTAGGCCACAAGGCCCTCAATTATGGAACAAAGAACTCTTCTTGTTAAGAAAATCAATTTTTAACAGATTAATATCAATCGTTACATGTAGACCGAAGCCTAAATTGCACACTTTCTAACAGAAAAACCTAGGATGAACACATCTATGCATGGTAAAAGTAAGATGTCCAACATTCATACCAGGCAAAATTTCTTAGAGTTGAGTAATTAAGAAAGAAAGAAACCCCTACCAGTTCATAGATTGACTACAGAAAAGCAATCTCAAGATGGCAAAAGTAATTGGGCAAATAACAGCAAGTATAACGCCAATAGCATGGAGCAATATTCCTGCAAATTTAGCAAAGATAAAACATTATACAAATATAATTCAACTAGCAGGCAGGCAGGACTAATTTCCAATAAAGAATTAGTAATTAAAAGAAGCATTTTACCTTTTATAAAATCACAGAAGGTCACAAACCAAGAGCATAACCCAATATTTGGTAAGTGCACCAAAAATGGCATAAGAAGATAGATGGCAACAGGAATACTGTGAAGTACCAGAGCTTGCCTTTTTGAATACAATATCTGAAAAGTTTGTAACAATATTAGAAAGATAAGTGTTGCTTATCACTTAAACAAACACTTATTTAATGATTAATGTGTTATCATATAAATCAGAAAGAAAAAAAAAAGTTTTAAACATCAAATCATAAAAATGTAGATTGTAGCATACCAAGAACCATGATAAGTAATCAAAGAAAACAGCTTGTTCATCATCTGGAATATCAGCAGCAGCTCTAAGTGATTCTCTTTCGTAGGAATTTCGTAGCTTAGAAGAGTTGGCAAAGGCCTTAATCACACTGAACAAATTGTTCCCCCGTGCCTGGATGCTTCCGGGTCTGCTTCACACAGATGTGAATGTATCAGAGGAAGTACCAAAGGAAAGTGATTTAAAGTTCCAACTAAGTCAACTGTACCAAATAGCAGTTGAAATGCATACAATAGTCTTTCCACAGTATCAGAGGAGGTGTGATAAAAATAACCACCAAGGAGAAAGATAACATCCAGTCCAGGAATGTCGCCATAATCATTAGCGAATATTCTGTAATCTGTATCTCCAGGAATAACAGGAAAAACATCCTGCATTTGAAAAATAAAATATTCACAATCATACCAATTATACAGACCCAGAGTCAAGTATAGCCCAACCAACCAAAAAAGAGGAAAAGAAAACCATGTTAAATATAACTGAAGTGGTAATGGAACTACTTGCACTGTTCCAAACTCATTATGAATGTAACAACAGTTGGAAAGATGATATCCAGCTGATGCAAAAAAATAAAAAATAAATAAATAAAACAGTAGATATAGTACAGAAGTAAGTAGAAATAAACTTTAGTGTTCCAGCCTCATACTAAAAGTCTATAATTTCCTAATAGGTTGATTATTGTCTGAAGAAAGGTAAGATCAAGTAAAGTTTCCAATTGGCAAAGAATATTCAATGACTTCATTTATGGTAGTATGCCATTTAATATAACCTTGCCCGCAAGTCATTATCTCACAAACTCGTTCAATAAGAACCTAAAAGGGCAGGTCAGAGTGCAGTGCCATGCTTCCAGGCCGTTAGGTTCCAGCATCTGATTGAGCACTGTGGATGGCACATCAACTCACCTTTGACACAGTTGCTGACATGCTTTTCACATGACCCAATCAGACGCAAGAACTTGATGATCTGCACACAAGGAAGAGCATCTAACTATAATCCAATATAAAATTTTGGTATTGCTAAGATCTAATATTATTTTGTTCTGACGTCTCCAACAATGTGTTAAATTCAAATCTAAATAGCCGTAAAAGCAACTTCTACGGTGATTCATATATATTTTAAATTTATTGAATTCAAGCTTTCATATTAACCTGCACGTTAGTGAAACCATAACCATAAACAACTTTGACATTTAAGTTCCAATACACGTGCCATGCGTTATTATGCTTTTAGAATCTAAGTAGCTTTGTGTCATAATTTTTACTACTTATTTATCAGTTGCATATCTTTTGCTGAATTCTTTCAAGTAAGAAAGATCTACACATTCACTTCAAAATTAATTTTCAATACCTTTAAATGCTTCCATTGGACCAAGCTCATCACATGTGATGTGAGATCTAAATTTTACACATTCACGCCCAAAAATTAGCGCTTCCAGCATTAACTAGTATAAGTTGTTAATAAGAAATGCATAAAGAAGTAAAGCTAAAACCTGAGTTGCGCTATTTGCCATAGGATGTAAAGCTGATTGTGCATAGACATGAGAGGGCCAAGACCCAGGTCCAGATTGGCAGACCACATCTGTTAAATGAACAGTTTATAAATCAACAAAAAGGAGTATAAGCTTCAAGGCAATAGCAATATAGCATGACATGGTCGGGAGGGTAGACTGTATCTACAGGGGTGAAGGGGAAGAAGGGTCATTACCCAGGGCCACGCTAAACAAGGGTGCCGGGAGGGTAGACTGGATACAGGCCTAACATTTGACATTATGCGCACAAAGTGGCTGCTCTAATGATTCGAACCCATATTCTCACACTTGATTGCCCAAGCACTTTACAAGAGCACCAAGCAATGGCCTTTATCGAAAAACAAGGAAGAAAAGAAAAAAAAAATTAGTTTGTACCCCCAACACTGAAGAGAACACTTTCCTACGGTATTTTTTGTAATTGAGCAGATGATGCATTTTTAGAGGTCAGTTGCTCAATCACATCAATCTAAAGCCTAAGCCATAGCTCTAATATAGTACATTAATTTTGCAGTCAAAACAATTACTTCACAGAGATAGATTGCACTGGGTCAGTGGCCAGTGATAAAGGTAGAAAGGAAATTGGGAGAAAAAAATATAACTATATTAATCATTTATGAACAATCATGCTTCCATTCTTTCTGAAGTTAATATTACCATCTAGTAATCATATGAAATAAGTTATATGTTCATTTAGTATATGCACTCCACAGCAGGATTAAGGTAATGGGTCCCTTCCTATTTCCACACCAATAAAGAACCAAGGTCTACCAAGAAGATATTTGCAGTCCTAACTAATAACATCAGCGTTCAGCGTACAACAAACACTTCAAAAGCATTTGCAGAAGTATATATAATCAGTAGACGGAATCCTACCAGGCCCTCCTGTTCCAGATGCTTCAACATTTATAAAAGCCCCGATTGTGTCACGCCATTTGTGTGTGGTCATGAAGCCATGGGAAGCCTGAAATATCATGAGCAAATAGTCTGTCATCAGATTATATGCACCAGAGTTCATATATCTATGCCTCTACCCAGAGAAGATCATCAGGTTATACAGACTTCTAACACTTCTGTTATCTTTAAATAGACACTCTCCTACCTCATTCTTTTTATATATTATCTATAATATTTTACATATACATACAAAAAGATATTTGGTTTCTTAAGATGTTGCTACAGACAGTCATGCAATGTACAGTTTAAGCATATTAAATTTTTTAACAGTGCAAAAAGGATAAATTGCTTTTTTTTGTCTTGTGGACAAAATACATTTGAACCTTAATGGTAATGAGATAATACAAAGAATATGCCAACACAAGACGAAATAGATCTTATATTTAAGGAAATTCTGCTTTTGACAAAATATAAATAACATGAAAAATGTGATTAAAAATGAATCCACAGAAAAAAAATGTTTGGTTTCATTTCAATGTATTATGCCAAACGACACCAAAATAGAATTCATTCAGAATTTCATGTTATATAACAAACACCACGGAATTGGTATAAAGAATAAAAAAAAGCTAATAACGACAAAATGATAAAACAAACTTTATTTAGATGCAAAGATGCACCTATTATGTAATTAAGTGAGCTATTTTAAGACTGCATGCAGATTCAAATTAAAAGAAATCGGATTGGAGCCATAGTGAGGACAAGGTGGTGATGCAGAAGTTGTCAAAATAATGTCTACCATATTTTTAAGCTTCTTTATCGTACAAAATAAATCATGGCCAACAACAAATATATTTAATATAAAAAATGTACGTGTGGTCCCACATTACACGATACAATTCATTTTAAGTTTTTAACTAACTATAGTAGATATTAGTTGACGAGTGATTACGATTAAGTTAAAAAATAATAATAATAATAATAATTGAAAACATAGTTTGTTATAGCTAACAAAAATATCAATTATGACCAATCAGGTTCAATGAATAATTATACTTCAAATGGACACGGCCATCCAGGTATTTCTATTTATAATGTAGTAGTAACCTAGTTTGCATTTGGTGGTGTATATGGCTTGAAAGAAATAGGTACTTCGAAGGAAAGGAGACTCCTATGGGGGAGTTAAAATTCTCTATTATTAGCACTCTTTTTTGTTGGGTTATACGGAGATATTGTAAATCCATGGAGGAGATAGTTGATTTTTTTGGACTCTCTGAGAGTTTAGAGGCCCTACTAGGCCTTGTGTATTTTCTGAGGGATGCGTTCCCCCTTTGAACGCTTCTTTATACAATCTTTACTTATCAAAAAAAAAAAGTTTAGTAGTAACCTAGTCAAAATCGCAGGCAAACTTTGGGTGGAAGTTAAAGAAAGGCAAAGGAATAGGAATTAACTTCACAACTATGTGATCTATATAAGAAATACTAAAAAGATAAAATTTTCTAAAATGACAAAACTTAAGTGGAAAGCCTGAAAGGATACAGAAGTCAAAAATAAAAAAAAAGAAAAAACAGAAAGAAAGATAATGGAAAAAGAAAATATAGGTAAGCAGCAAAATGTACATATATGATAACTAATGTTAAAAGGTCACTGAATCTGCAAAAACATTCACAATATCAATATCAGACAGGCCCAGCTTGCGGAAACACCAGCCACAAGGGCTGATTTGGGATGTGAAGCATCATCACCATGATCCACAACCTATCACTTTTGGTCGTGAATGCCCCTGATGTTTCATTTATATTTTTATATATTCTTCATAATCATTTCAATTCTACAAACATGTCCTTTCACAAAGAAATTTAGTCACATCCTTGATGTAATAATCCTCATTGCATGGTTACAGTGTCCCCACCAAGTAATTAAACTCAATTTGTCATAATACTTTGCCTTTTACTGCCAATTCTCTTCTAGTATCAAAGTAAGATCCCAACCATTTCTATTTTAGAAGGATGGTAGTATGATCACAAATTCATTAAATCAAGAGAGAAGTTCTAAGGTGATACCTTTTCGATGGATAATGCACATATAGCAAAAGGTTAAGAAATATTTTTGAAGAAAAGCCATCCATTAGCACCATTCTGGCAAGGTAAATTATTGTAACAGAAAAACAGAGCACTCATGTTTCAAGTATAAAGGTATAAAATTCTATGATGAAACCAAGAAGAAAACAAAATTCAAGTATTTGTGCATAAACCTACTTTATCTTCTTATACCATGTTCTTACAGCTGGTTGACATAGGTCCAAGATCACATGGAAAATTGGAAATTGTTTGGACCAACGATCGCCACATTAATGTCCTGTTATCAAACTTAGGTCATTGATTAAAATTCTCTCAACAACCAAGTTTCTCATATTGTAATATCTAGGATATGACAAACAGATCGCTTGAACAACAGAGGATGACATTAAGTGCTCAAAAACATGCATAAGAACTGTTTGATATTTAAACAATAATCATCGAAATGAAATATTCCTTCCATACTGAACAGTGTAAATATATTTTACCAACATAAAAAGTTCTTCAGCACCGTTGAATAGAAATATAATTGGCCGAGGAGGAGTCCAGCCCAAATCAACAGTAAGCCTTGCTATTTCCAACATTGATGCTACAAAAGAAAAAATGATACAATAAAGAGAGACACATCTAAAATATTTCTATAAAACAATAATAATAATAAATTAGAAGAAAAAAAAAAATTAAAATTGAAAAGATTACTAGTAAACCCCACCAACACATGATCCACAATCACCAGCGCCTGGAGAGCCAAGTGGACTGTCAAAATGGCCATTCACTAAAACTGAAGGATCAGTGTCTTGTGAATCTACAGAAGATATCCTGTAGCTCAATCCAAGTTAGTACAAAATGTCATTTGCTAACAAAACCATAATATGTTTACAGTGATGCAAACCATTGTATGCCAGACACATTGATAAATTGCCACTTAGACTATAGAATATAAAATATAAAAAACTAAGAAGTATTGATGATTTGTATAATCGTTTTTCACAGTTCATTGGTAATTGCTCAAGTATGACAGTAATTTCAGCACCTAAAAAAGGCATAATGGAGCCAGTATTTTTCTTCAGTGGGGCCATTTACCAATTAAATAATATATTAATTTTAAAATTCAATGATATCTAAATAGATTAAATAGCACATAGAGATTGTAATAATTGATTTTTTTTTCTTTCAAAATATTAGAAAATTTGGACTGTAAATAGTTATAAGAGGAATATATAATTTGTTTTTACAACATGTCGTTTCTGATATACTGAAAAGTTTTTCACTATTACACAATCCTCACCTAGTCAAGTGGCTTGGGGCTTGGATTGATAAGTGCTGGGTAACTCGATAAAAAGTAATCATGCAACAGAAGGGAGGTCGTGATCATACTTTATTATTTATTATGAAATTTGCCCCTCAATTTTCAATATCCGAAATTGGCCTCATCTTACTTTTGTTTTATGATAATAGAGGGGCCAAAATTTATGAAGCCCAGAAATTTCATGATATGTTGTTTACCCACTATTATATTCAAATTCACTGAGGTTAGCCCATATGACTCTACCCAGTGAAAGGTACCTTTTGATATCAGATTAACGTTTTTCTTTCATATATGACTCACTTAATGAGAAGAAAAATGCCAAGAATTTTTGTTTGAGGAAAACATTTATCCTTTTAAAACTAGAAAGAAACTAGTAGAATTGCAACTTCCAGTGAGACCTACGATTGGTTTCAACTGCTTTGAGATGGATGATTAAAATTTATACTTCAGCAACTGTACAAGAATGACAAAAGTAAAGGGAGAAGTGTTCAACTCTTAACCATTTCAACCATCAACATTCCTACTCAAATGATGAATGGCTCAATTTTTTTCAACCCGAACGTAGTGGTATCAACTATGAAAGACCTAAAACTTCAAGAGTGTTCTTTATTTGAACAAAATGAACAACATGTTTTTTGCTGATCAGATGGCAACCCACTAATTAGAAAGTGATTCCCAGAATGTTTGTCGCTGTACCTAATTTTAGAAAAATGGATCCCAGTAATAATCACTACAAGGGTGTATGAATTTTAAGGGGGCACACATCATACAACGTGCATTGGGCAATTTATTAAATCCCATTCTAGAACATACCTTACATGGTCAAATTTCATTAATTAATTTTCTTGTAGCATATTTTGGGAAGATTGTGTAATACTTTTTTTTTTTTTTCATAATTGATTGTGTAATACTCTCTCTCTTTCTCTCTCTCACACTATAATTGAGTTCAAAATTAAAACTACTAAAGTATCCTGTCATAAATAAATATTGGATGAAATAATATCAGATGTCCTAATGTCTCATAAAATTTACCCAAAAGTTCCTCATACTTAATCTAATATGCCAAACAATAGCATGATAAATAAAAAATAAAACAAAGTGAAGTACCTCATAACAATATTTGTGTGGTTTCTATATGCAAAAGATAAGCTGTGGCCTAAAAACAACATGTTGAAGGTACCATTGACAGTGGTTTCCTCGATCTCTATCCTACAAATAAGCCAATTTCAGAGCCAAGTTATGAAAGGAACTAAACAAAATTTAGAAAAATAAAATAAAACAAAATGTACAATTAAAATTAAGTAACAAATTGCATAACCTTGAAAAATGTTAAAACCAACCTTACATTGGATCCAGCTCTCTCCTTTATCATTTCCAACTGAGTTTTAATATATTCGGCAGCATCTTTTAAACCCCTACGCCCTTCCTATCAATATTCATACCAGTTAATTGTTTAACTCAAAACAGGGAATGAACTTTCTTCTATTAATCCACTCAAAAAAAAAAAAAAAAGGATGAAAGTCAAGGCAACTAATTCACAATATCGTATTGGACCCATTTTGGGGTAGATTAACGGTCTCAGCTCTAAAAAATTGATAAATTCGAGATTCAATTATTATTTTCTATTCAAGCGTAATCCAAAACAATTGCTCTTAGTCACCAACTAGAATCAAAAGTAACAAATTGAACAAGAAGTAGAGATATATATACGTATGTATAACTATACACACGTACAGTGTGTGTGTATATATACACACATACAGAAGGAGAGATAAGCGGGTGATATATACGGACCTGGCGACCATCGATCTCACTGGACAACACACGTACGTGCTCGATGGCTCTGGCTTCGGAGAAGCGATCAAGTGGGGCGTCGATATCAAGGGGTTTGATGAATTTCATGTGGATTACCGAATACACTAGAATTGACATGAGGCCGTATAGAATCGATAAATGTAACAATAATTTGAATCCGGCGATGTCACCGGAATTTAATCTGAAGACCATTTTCGAACCCCAAGTCGACTCCTTTGACCGATATAATATATATATATATATGATAAATATATACCTATTCAGAGAGAGGTTGAACCTAAACGATGACCGAGAGCATGAGAAGATGCCAGGTTTTGGCCGTCGAGGCAGTCAGAGGGCTACAGAAATTACAAATGGTTATGGAGCCAATGTCTTGCGTCATTTGATTCTCTTCGCCGACTTCCTTTTTAAATACTCATTAATGCTCGTTTTGGCACGTTAGTTCTTGAAGTTTCTTTTAACCATCCGTCACCCGATTGAAAAACAGCAATTTTTTTCTTTTTTATATTTTATTTTTTGCTTTTTCCTTTTTTTTTTTTTTTTTATCTCCTTGAGAGTACCATTTTTTTCTCATTTTTTAATGGTGATTCTGACAGTGGGAGAATTATGAAAGTTAAATGGGAAAAGTGCAAGAAAATGAAAATAAAAATAAAAATCCTAAACTATCATATTTTTATAAAATACTTCGTAACTCCTTACTCCTAACATTGTAAAACATTAAACTATATAAATAAAATAATTTGCAAATAATATTCCAATTACTTGGGCTTTTGATAACCATTTTTACTTGGTGTTTTTTTTCTGGGGACGGTGTATGTGGCAAAGCAAAAGTATATTTTTTTTTTTTATGTTTGGTAACTTTTACTAGAATAGTACCAAAATACTTTCGATAAAAAAGGCCAAAACCGACTATCCAAAAAAAAAAAAGAAAACCTCTAAAATGATATTTTTAACTAATCATTTTATTTTTTACAACACTTTTTTACCAAACATATTTTCATGTTTTTGTTTCCAAAACACTTACAACAAATATACATTATCAAATATACTTTTGAATAGTATTTAACATTATTTGAACATAACACACTTTAAAACAGAAAACTTTACTTTGCTTCTGCTTCTATCAGAGCAAAAATACAACGCATACGTGGTTACCAAACAACCCCTTAATGATTATAAGTTATTATTTTTATTCATTTTGTTTTGACAACTTTTACTTTATATTATGTCCAGTCAACAATTAAGGATTTATAAAATACACATTCAAAATTAAGGATTTGAAAAATACATATTAACGTAAAGTGAAGCCTAACCTAATTCACCACTGGTTTTATTCACAAGCTGACCCTAACATCTAGTTCATCTTTCCTTTTATCAATTTTTTTTTTTTTTTTACCTTGTTGGGTTGTAAATAAACTGAGTCAACTCAAGCAGAACTTGAGTTTGTTTGAATCCAACTTGTTTATTCGTGGGCTCAGTGCAAACTCGTTCGAGCTCTTAACCAATCCGAAAAGTTAAGATTACACTTGACTTAATATTATTTTGAGAATATCAAATTCGGCTCGTTTAATAACAAAATTTGTTCAAGCTCAATTTTAGCTCGTATTCAATCTCTCTTTGTTTCATTTATAAATTCAAATGAGCCTACGCAAAAAAAATGTTAATAACATGCTCACAAGCTTACATTTGGGAGCCTGTACAAACCGATGTTTATGGAGTCTACGAGCTCATACTCGCAAACATATACAAGACAACATAGGTTCACATTTACTAGTTTAGAAGAATCAAACCCAAGACTTTTCAGATCGACTCCTTTACTAAATGATTAATTTCAGTGACACCTCCTGTGATTTGCCCTATTGACAACTAAATGAAACTTGGCTCATTTTTGGACAATGGCACCATTTCAAGTTGCTAAAGTTAACAATGTCTATCATACACAATGTAAATTGATGTTAATGCCTTTTGACTTGTGAATTTCTTTATTTGAAATATATAATTACCATTTTAACCTTCAATTATTTGAATGAGCCAAAATATCATTTATATATATATAACTATTATTAAAAATACAAAGAGTTTTAGTATTAATAGTCAGATGTAACTTAGTGCAAATCACTGGAGGTGTCAGTGTAATTACTTTTATTAAATGAACCCATAAATCGAGCTCAAACTCCGGTCGTTATTCATGCGATGTTCATTTAAGCAAATGCAAACAACTCATCTCCTTTCTTTTAATCAAATTTTTAAAATATATTATAGATAATTAATAATTGAGGGACAAGAAAAGAAAAGTGTGTGAGATGTACAAGTAGTTCAATTTTGATTAAAAAAATATTATTAAAAAATCAGCATACAAAAAGGGTAAAATTACAGGGCATTTAAACATCTTCACTTTGCACCCCATTTTTTGGTCATGTATTTTATTTTATTTTTTCGTAGACGATGAACTCAATCACACATTATTTGTCTTTTTGGAAATTTGAATTTGCACTTTCGCAAGTTGAAAAATATATCAATAAATTACAAAGAGTGAGCAATGAATTTTTTTTAACACACTTGAATATTGAAAATAGAAAGTTGTGGCAAAAAATTTCACAGTAAACACATACTTTGGTTGTAACCTTCTAGCTAGTTACACTCATTTATTAGTGATACTATTTTCTCATTAATTATTATTATTTATATATTAGCGAAAAACCACACCTGCATATTTATTTTATCCATACGAACTAAAACATTTGACTTTTTACTTTAAGAAGCCGATAAATAAACATTAGACATCAACCTTTAGTATTTTTTTTTTATTGTTCGGTTGAATGTGAATATCGTTTGCGTAAATTTGAGACTTAAAGACCATTTGGCCTGCTATAATTAAAAATAATAATAATAATTTATTTTTTTAAGTAGAGTGTTAGCAGAAAGGTTGGGGTAATAATACTTTTTAAAACAACTATATGGCCAATTTATTAATAAAACCAATCTAATGTTAATTTTACAATAATATTATTTAATAAAATATTACTGTATTGGATGATAACAACTTTATAAAAAAATGGTAAAATTATTTTTATAAAACATAAAAAAAATAATAATAATAATAATAATTTTGTCTAAAAAATAATAATTACCTAGAATATAAAACTTCTACTCTACACGCAATTTTAAAAGTTAAGAATATTAATTTTATTCTAATGATTCACTGAACTAAAATCCATTTAATAAAATTAGCATTGAACCGAAAAGTACTTGTTGGATGGAGGAATTGCATATATTAAGTGACTACTGTAAGGTGCTTTAATAATTATCAAAATATTGAAAACCAAAAAATTAAAATAAAAGCACTCTTGAATAAACAGCAACTACAAGGGGTGTTGAAACTGATATATTGAAATGGGGAATATCAAGGCTTAGAGGCACATAATCGCTTCCTGAAATAGTTAAAGCATCTCCCACGTACAAACAGAAAACAAATGACAGTACTATCTCATGATTCAACTAAGCCCAGATATCAAATTTGTATATTCATGAAGGTTGCACTTCACTTCATGAACCTGTATATTTATCTCCGTCCGATTAAATAAAAATATGAAACTGACACACTCGAAGTCAATAATTTGAAAACACTTTTTCAAATCTCACTTTCTCTTACTTTGTTTTTGAGAGAGTGTATCATACGCTTCGTATGCCATACTATTTATACTAATATATTTATAAGACATTAATAAAGTATTTAATATAATTTTAAACTTAACTCGTATATAACATATTAATATAGTAGATTAAATGCATCAGGTAAAGAACTTAAAGTTTAAAGTTTGTAAAATCAATACTTTGTCTCTGTAAATATAAAATTACTCTATTAATTTGAAACATAACTCCAACAATCCCCCTTTTGTTTCAAATTTCTTTTGTTAATCGGTATAGTCACGTGCACCAATAATGGTAATTTTTGGACTCGAACCATTACCTAGCGTAAGCACCCTTAATTTCATCTAGGAATTTGGTGAACGATATCTTGAGCCAAGAACCACGTTGATGAATAAAAATACCACACACACATTTATGTTCGGAGATAAAGTACCGAAGCTTGACACGTTTCGGCCATGTGTCCAGAATCAATACATCTAAGAGTTGTTAAGGATCAAACATATCTAGATCCTATAAAAGCGGCCCTACTTCCACACTCAAATCAGTGTGTCTATCAAGAGTGACCTTACACACTCCAACCAAATACCAGTTATGGACTCATTATAAGACTTTAATCTCATCCTCCTTATTGCAACATAAATCAGTGAATCTATCAAGAGTGATTATACACACCCTAATCGGAAAATCGATCTATAGAATTCATTAAAAGATCAAAGTCTCAACCTCCTCATAGGTTAGTCGGTGAATATATCAGAAGTGATCTTGTACACTCCAATCGAAAATCGATCTATATATTCATTAAGAGATCTAAATCTCAACCTCTTCGATTACAGGATTTAGCACCCATATCACATCATAGGGAAAAGAGCATTAATGTGCTCACACAAGTTGTTATGTTACTTATTTTTCCCATTGAACCAAGGAGAAATATCACTGGGTTGGGTTGCCATAACATCACAACATCGATTGCAGGCTCTTTTCAATCCTTTTAGATGTCTTAGACACAAGCTCCCTTCATATATATTTCGACAATAGATATGCCAAATAAGATATGGCCTTGGACATTAGGTCCCTTCACATGTCTTTCGACAGTGGATATGCTAAATTAGATTTAGCCTTTACACAGTAAATTGTGATAATCCATTAGCCATGATATCTTTCTGATGATTATGCTTCAACTGCATATGTATGGACTTTTCATTGTAACACTCGTTGTGAGCCTGAAGTATCACAACCTTATTATCATGAAAATATTCCAAGGGCGGTATAGGCTTATTTTGTATTGGAATACCCTCCAGTAAGATCCTTACCCAGTTAACTTCCTCTCCAGCAGAGAAAGTGCAATAACATTCAGATTCCATCGAGCAATGAGTTATACAAGTCCACCTTTTTTATTTCCAATAAATTATAACTCCACCCAAGGTGAAGATCCAAGCCGACACGAACATTGAACATCCATAGCAAAGAACAACTGGGTATTTTCAATAATGCGACCCATGATCCATAGTACTCTGTAAGTACCTCTATATTCGCACAAGAAAAAATCAACGATCTCTTCCCAGATTATTTACGTACTTCATAACAAGTTGTGTTTGCCCTGATGCAGTTCATCGTGTCATAAAAGACCACCAATAATTTGAGAATTCAAGTTGATTCTCTGTACTACCTTGATTGCAAAGTGGCTCCGATCTAAGATCAACAAGAACAAAGACTGCAACATCTAATAAGATTTTGAACCTTTTAAGATTAATTGATAAAATTGGATTGCGTGAAGACAAATCCATGTTGAGCCCCCATACTTTGATTTACATAATTGCACTGGCCTCGCTAAGATCAATCGTGTCAAAAAGTTCAAATTAAGAATTTATAGGCAAATAATAATTGCCAGAATTTCATTAGAATCTCTTAATGTTTTGAATTTTTTTAAAATTTTTTGTATTTATTTTTTCGTAC